TTCTGGAATATTAGGGTTTTTTTTTTTTTTATTAAAAATGAAATGAAGGGCTGATGAGATGTCTCGGTGGGTTAAGGCTCTTGCCACTAAACCTGATGATTCAGTCCTCAGTAGCACATGGTGGAAGAAGATCACCAACTCCTGTGCGTTGTCCCTCGAACTCTAAATGTGGGCTCTGGCACGTACGTACATTCATGCACACACTTCCTCAGTTAATTAAAGCAAAAACAAAGATGAAAAATAAACCTGATATCAGTCAGACTTACAGGAAAAAGTAGAGGACACAAGATCTAGGGAAAGAGGCCCTACGGAGAGGAGTTGTGTGATGTGGCGTGATGTAGCCACAAGCCAAAGACTCCATAGAGAGCAAGGAGTCACCAGAAGCCAACAAAAATGGGAAGAATTCTTCTCTATAGGCTTCAGAAAAAGAAGACCATTGCTGACACCTTAATCTGGGACTTCTAACCTTCAGAATTTGTGAGACAACCAATCTCTGTTTGAGGGCTCTAGGAAGCTAGCATGAGCAGCAATTCTAGCACACCCATCTAATGCCTATGGCATCCTCAGTTACTACAAACACAAATGGCTCAGATATTTCCAGAAGTCTCCTGTGTGGGAGTTAGAGGTCCCAGCCATCCAACCCACTGAGGACCACTGTGGTAACAGGGCAGATAGATCAAAGGGCAGAGAGGAGTGAGATGAACTAAGATTTAAATTTCAGCCCCGCCCGGAATGGCTACGTGATGTCGGGCAAGTTGCTTAAGTTCCCTGGTCTAGTGTCCTCATGAGAGAAACAGGGCACACGGAGGAGCCTGTATCTCACAGACTCATCAGTGCTGACGCAACAGGACGATGCACAGAATGTGCTTTGCACGGCATCGAACACACAGCTAGCACTTAATAAACAGTAATGAAACAACGATTGGTTAAGTGCATTGATTAGGCAATAGTGGCATCTTTACCTAATGGGTAACAGATACACAGAGAGCTAACAATGGTGACTTCCACTATTATTATTTAAATTCGGCAAGCTGAGTCACTTGGCCAGGCAATAATCTGCCGAGAGCAGCCTCCACACCCACCACCGCAACTGTGGCTCCTCCAGGCGGAGGCGATGCCAGAGCGTCCATCTCGGTTTCACGTTTTCTACACGCTTTTCCTTCCCCATCCTGTGATCACGGCAGTCTTGTAAGACACAGAGAGCAGTCACTGAAAACATGCTGTTTCCACTTTGAGGGGTGGAAACCAAGGGGTCAAAACCATTGGGAGGCTTACCCAAGTTGAGGCAAGCGTCAAAGTGATGGCTGGGAACCTGGACCATTAAGACAGTCTGCTTCTGGGGCTGGGGAGATGGCTCAGTGGATAAAAGTGCTGTAGAAGCATGAGGACCTGCATTCAGATCCCAGACAGCCACATAAAAGCTAGGCATGGACGTAGGGCATGCTGGTCACCTCCATGCTGAGGGCTGATGTGGAGACTGGAAAATGAATGGCTGGCAGCCTTGCCAAAAATCAGCACGCTCTCTCCGGGTGCAGAGAGTGTGGTAGTGCATGCTTTTTTCCCAGCACTGAGGAGCAGGAAACAGGCTCATGGGTTCAAGGTCACCCTGGGCTATATAGGGAGTTCAAGGCCAACCTGGGCTACATGAGACCGTACCTCCAACAAACAAACAAAACAAAAACAGAAATAAAAGATGATGTTTGGAGGGGCAGGGGGTGGAATGCAGTCTGCACATTGCTGCAGTGACGGGCAGCGTGTGCAAGCCACTCTGCATTCCAGGCGCTTCTTTCAACATTAACTTGGTAAGTTTTCCAGGACTGAGAAGACAGCAGAAAGGAGGAGACGGACTTGAAAGGAAACTGAACCTGAAACGGGCCAAGGGATGCACCATGTGGACGTCTGAGAGAAGAGTGTCCTGGGGAGGAAACTGTCAAGGTAAGAACCCAGAGGCAGGGACCTGCCTGGCCGGTTTGAGGGAACTGCCAGGGAGCCAGTGTGACTAGAAAGAAGGTCACACTGTCAGGAGATCTAGGTAAGAACTGAGGCAGGGGAAGACCTAGCATGGGCCACAGGGAGAACACACCCTCAGGAGGGACTCTGGACGTGAGCTGGACAGGAGTTCTGTGCCAAGAGACAAATGTGTCCCATTTATGTTTGTGTTTAACCCATGCCTTGGCTGAGTGTGACTATCCTGCCTGATATGAGGAAAGAAAGAAGGAAAGCCTTCCCTCCCTCCCTCCCATCTCTCATTCTGTCCCTCCCTCCCTCTCTCCCTTAGTCTTTTTTTCCCCCCTTCTCATCTTCTTCTTGCCCCTTTTCCTGTCCCTTTCCTCTCTTCCTGTCTTAGGGTTTTACTGACACATTACAGAGTGCACAATGAGGTGATAACTGCAGTCATTTAGGTGAAAGATAATGGTGGCTTAGACCTTGGTGGGTACAGCCATAAGAAGTCATATTCTGCATTGATTTTGAAGGAGGAGCCAGCGGAATCTGGTGAAAGATCAGCTGTGGAGTTGAGGCAGGGGCACTTGAGGGCTGGTCTAGGATGACTTTCAGGTTTGCTGAACTGCGCTCATGGAAGGATGAAGTCATTATCTATTAAGATGAGGATGAGTGTGCAAAGAGTGGGTCTGGAGAGAAACAGAGAAAAAGCTCATGACTTTAGTGGGAAGATGTGAAGTTTGACATGCCTGTCACACAGCAGGGGTTGAGTGTGCAAGGCTGGAGTGGAGAAAACAGCACATTTACCTTATAGTTACATTGATTTATAATCCATATACAGCAAGCTTACATACTAAAAAATGTATAGTGTCCAACTTGGTAAATTTTAGTGCCTCTTTATATCCATGTTCCTGTTCCTTGTGTGGCCTCTTCCGTAGCCCTGTTTCACTGCATCTTCACGGCCCAGGCAGCTGCCGATCTAGTTTTGTCCTCATAGACAGCGTGCGTTTTCTAGAATTTCACACACAGGAGTCTACGTATCAGGACTCTTCTGTTGTCTGACTTCTCCCACTCCACCCTCATTCTGAGGCTTATGCACACATGTCCTTACACGAAGCAGCACGCCACTTCTCTATTTTATGGGCGGACAGTCACTCATGCCCAGGTGTGTCTTTAGTCTTTTATCTGTAGGCGGACATTTCGGTTGCTTGGGTGAGCATCTCAGAGCGCATGACGGGCTCATGTGGTAAAGTAGTTTAGATCTTTCAGAAACTGTTAACTGTTTTCCCGAGGGGTTGTCTACATTGGGACCAGCAGTGAGAATCTTTACCTACTGCTTGATCTGGTCAGGATTTTTAAGTTCTGTGCACTTTAGTAGGAGTTTTTTGGGGAGTTATCGTTATTAAAATAGAGATTATTTTAATTTAATTTAATTATTTAATTTTAGTTGGGTGATATGCTCACCCAAGAAAAGGAACCTAGGCCTACCTAGGTCTATCAAGTCCAAAGGCAGGAATGTCCACACAGCTTTAAATCGTTTCTACTTTATTTTAATTACGTGTGTGTGTGTTCATGTTTATGGAGGTACAGAGGCCAGAGACGTCAGATCCCTTTAGAGCTGGATTTATTGGTGGTTGTGAGTTTACTTTAAGTTATAGCTTCCCTGTTCATTTCCACAAGGAAAGGTTGAGCATCTGCTGCTCCATGGCCCATACACAGCTAACTGCCGCTTGTGGAAGCTCTGTTGTGCTCCCACAGGTAGTAATGAGTTGACCTGCATTACTGTAGCCATCCTAACATCATAGTGCAATGTGTTACTGGCATGTTTGTGATGCTCTTGGTGGAACCAAAGCCAGTGTGCCGCCAGTGGCCTGACAATATAGCAGTACAATAGAATATTATACATGTTTAATAACGAGAGTAAATTACTATATTGGTTTAAGTAAAAACGTACACTTTTTCATTATTTTAGCATATATTCTTTCTGCTTGCGTAGAGAGCTTCACTGTGAAGCAGTAAGGTGTGTTATGCCAACAGCAGCTTCCTGGGTTTGTGTTTACCAAATCCCTGGGTTACATCATTCTCTCTGGTGTTGGATTTAATCTTGGGGTGCTTTGTTCATCGTGGCCATGGGTGAGGTAGGCTGAACTATGAATATTTATGCCCTTTAGCCCAGGCGTGCAGCAGGCCTCCTAGGTTTGTGTAAGTACACTCTATGGGGTTTGTCCAATGAGCCAATAGCCGGACAACCCATTTTCAAAGTGTTTCCCTGTTGCTAAGCAACGTACGACAATGCCCACTTATTAATTAAATTGATTGATGAGGCAAGGTCTCATAAGTAAATATTGATAGCCCAGGCTTCACAAATCGTAAAATTTACTATCTTAAAAAAATTACCGTCTTAACCACCTTTAAGGATACTAGAGAATGCTGTTGCTATCCTCACCCTGGGCTGCAATTTGTTTGAGTCTCCGTTATCTCATTAATTGCAAGCCATTTAAGGGCCCAAAAGGTCTTTGCCTCGCCTCATCCCAGGATAGTAAAGACACACTGCTCAGTCTCTTTTAGGCACTGGTCTTGAACTCATACTTTTTTTTAAAACCAACCACGGTTTCTCTTTCTCTTCCAGCAACGTTAGAAAAACTGCAGCTAGCCTGTTTGAAGGTGCAGGCAGCGAACACAGACTAGAATCTTTACCGTGCTGTGGGGCAGAAACTTCCACCAGCCCCTGCTAGCTTTTTTGGGTTTGGGGGTCTCTGATTGGCAAGGATGAATAGAATTATTACAGGGTCCTTGCAAGGATTTGCACGAAGTAGGCTTAACATGGTTTCAGTGACAGAGAAGGCTCTGGGCAAGCCTGGGCTGTTACTTTGGCTACCAATTTAACGGCAACTCTTACCCATGTGAGACGGATCGCATTTAGGCGTCAGAGTAGGCAGGCAGCATTGCTTCCTCACCACTGCGAGGCGCAAGGGAGGGGCAGGACCTCCCGAAGCCCCGCCCCTATAAGCGGCATTCAGTTGTCTAGGCAACGCGCCGCTGGGTCGCAGACAGAGTGACTTGGGGTGCCTTAACCCAAGGCTCTCAGAGCGCGCTGGGCTGAAAGATGACTGAGGAAGATTCAGAGAGCGTGGCCACTGACTCCCAAGCAGAGGAGGAGAGCGAGCTGCCAGTCATCCAACTGTGCGGGCTGGTGGAGGAGCTCAGGTACCGGCACCTTGAGCCTCTGTGGCCTCTGCTATAGCCTGCAGCCCACTCATGCCTACGCCCAGCCCCGCGGGGACACAGCCCGCTATGGTGGAGAAGGAATTTCGTTTGCCTGATTATCCCCGCTTCTTACAGGCTTCTGAGCCGATAAGCCACTGATGGAGCTGGGACTGGGAGAAGGGGCAAGGGACCCGACCGCCTTGCAAAGATCAGAGAGCTTTGGCTTGGTGTCTCCCTGGTACTAGGGCAGCCACTCTCCCAGCCTGCATCAGGTGTCCTCCTAAGCCCTTTCCCAAAGTTAATACTAAGATAAAATTATTATGGCGGCTGGGTGGAAATGAAGCTAGTGAAATGATTTGATTGAGGCTTCATGGGCTGAATGAGGGTTTAAGCATGGACCTGGAGGGTGAACAATGATTGGCCCAATACTCTATGTTTTCCTGTTTTCTACCCTTCATGGCGAGTTAACTGGATAGGAAGATTCCATGATGTAGTTGAGGTTTGTGTCCGATGTACTGACGTTACACAGTATCCTGTTTCTGGCTGGACTGGGTGTTGCTTCTGTACATCTGTAAATAGTTCATGCCAGAACTGTGGGATTATTACTAATTACCATTTGAGTGTCTGTCATAGGCCACAGCCTTGTACAGCTGTCCTAGGATATAGTCACCCTAGGAGGCACCCATTTCCTGAAGTCTCCTTCCCTATGGTCAGGCAGCAGAGATTCAGACTCAGGGGCCCATGGAAGGCTCCACTCAGAGTAGGATATGTGTTGAAAAGGCAAGACTTCTTGATTTTCCTCTGTTTTCCATTAGGCTTCTGTACTGATCTCAAAGTCCAGGAATTAGCTTAACAGTACAAGTAGATCTCAGTGCTACCCTCTTTTCGTCATCTGTGTGTGTGTATGTGCATGCAGATAAAATGGGAAAGTTTTAGGACTGGGGCTGCAGCTCCAAGGTAGAGCCTCTGCCTAGTATTCACAGGGCAATGGGTTCACTCCCCTAAGCGTGCACACACACACACATATGCATGCACACACTAAAATTGGGCGTGGTGGCTCATACCTTTAGTTCCATTACCAGTGAGGCAGTGGATTTCTGTGAATTCAAGAATTTCTGTGAATTCTGTGCTTTGTGGTCCCCAAAGCATAAGTTCCAGGCTAGCCAGGGCTACACAGTGATACCCTGATCCTTAGTTACTTTTCTATTGCTGGGGCAAAACACTATGACCATGACAACTTAGAAAATAAAGCATTTAATTTAGGGGCTCAGTGCTCCAGAGGGGTGGGGTTAAGTTCATGATGATCATGGTGGGGTGTGGTGTTCATTTTTAAAAACTTTTTTTATTTGGGGTTCCTTAAAGCCTCTCCTTTCCAACCCACCCCCACGGTTAGTGGGGAGAGGGAGTACAGGTCCCTCTACTTTTCCCGGCTGTTTGGGGTCGATGGGCTTTTGGGGGGCTATACCAATCTCTGTCAACAGCAAATGCAGCAAGCAGTCTCCTCCAAACAGCTCTATGAAACATTTCTCTCTGTCTGTCTGCTCCAAACCACCATACCATCTGTCTCTCTGGTCTCTCCAAACTGCCACTCGACACATGCCACGGTTTTTCTTTCTGGGCTCTGCGAGAAGCTCGGAGTCCTAGACCACGCCTCTGCCTCTCCCTGTGCTGCATGAGGCAGGCTGTTACCAGCTGGCAAAGACCACACCCCGAGGGAGGCAGCTATCAGCTGTGGACAAACTAAAGCCCAAACTAAAACCCCACACTTGGGATTAAAACAAAAATGTATTTACACGACATAATCGAGTTTTTTAAGGAAACCAAAACTCCCTTTATAGTGGGGAGCGTGGCAGTAGACAGGCAGGTCTGGTGCTGCTGCAGCAACTGGGAATGGCCTGGCCTTTGAAACCTCACAGCCAATGAGTGACACACCTACTCCAACAGGGTCACGCCTCCCAGTCCTTCCCAAACGCTTCCACCAGATGGACACCAGTCCTTCACATGCCCAAGGGGACCATTCTCATTCAAACCACCATGCCCTGTCTCCAAAGAAAAAACAAACGCAAAAGGCAAGTTTTATGTACGCGCCGTAGTTATGGGGGCCACAATATTGGCATACACAAGATAAGCTAGATATGTTTTCTCTGGTTATTTAAAAACCACTTTTCAAAATCACTTCTGTTTATGATGATTTATCCCAGTGGAATGTCTAACCTGCTGGGGGCCAGTGGTGAAAGAGCAGAGAAACACCAGCCAGAGGAAGCACCCAAAGACGGTGGGTGGGTGTAGATAGCTTCAAGAAAGTGGTCAGCCAGAGGTACTTTAACAAATGAGTTAGATGGTATCTGAAGATGGGACCAGCAGCAATGGTCATCCACAGAACATCAGCACTCTGGATCTTGTGACTTGTTAGACTCAGTTACCAATAGTTTCAATACTCCAGCATCATTTCCTGGTCCAAACCTGACCTCAGGTCACTGAATCCCTGCCACAACTCTTAAACAATGGTGATGTCATTATACCTGTTGTGTAGGAAGGAAGGAAAGGAAGGAAGGAAGGAAGGAAGGAAGGAAGGAAGGAAGGAAGGAAGGAAGGAAGGAAGGAAGGGAGGAAGGGAGGAAGGAAGGAAGGAAGGAAGGAAGGAAGGAAGGAAGGAAGGAAGGAAGGAGGCACCAAGAAGTGGCATGTCTCTCAGAGGCCATGTGTGGCCGATGATGTACTAAATACTGATTATATGGGGGTGCTATTCATAGAATTCACTTAGGTACCCTGTATCTTACAGCTATGGAAACGCAGCTCTCAAAACAGAAACAGAGATGTTCGAGAAATATTACTATAGACTGGAACCCAGGGACCACCGAATGCCACGGTTATCGGAATATAAAATATCGGCAGCAGAATTTTCACAGGTACACAACGAAAGATGAAAATTATTTCATCCTGTCTGCCTCCATGAATGCAAATAAGGGTTTGTGTATCTGCCTTCGATGCGCCTTCTTGGGTCAAATGGCCGTAGGACTTCCTCCTTGTTCTACTATCTGATTATTTCTTCCCTCTAGTTCCTTTCAAGGGAGGGGATTCCACTCAGGAGCTGACTCTTCTGGAATACCTTAGTTTATACAGAAGGGTGCCTGAAGGCTTGTGTAGTGGTAACAGCAAACCTGTAATCTCAGCACTTGGGAGGCCGAGGAAGGAAGGCCACAGGGTTTGAGGTCAGCCTGGCTACCTAATAAGACATGTCTCAAAGCAATTAAAAACCCAAGGACTGGGAATGTAGCTCAGCAGGAGAATGCTTGCCTGACAGACACAGAGCCCTGGGTTTAAACCCTTTCACTTAAAAAAAAATAAATCCTTTCATTGGTGACTCAGTTTACAAGGTCTGTCCAAACCAGGCATGGCTGTACATGCCTTTAATCCTAGAACTCAGGAAGCAAAGGTAAGCAAAGCTTTGTGAGTTTTAAGTAGCCAGCCTGATCTACATAGTGGGTTCCAGGCCAGCCAGAGATACACAGAGAGACCCTGTCTCAGAACAGCAACAAACAACAAAGACTGCCCAGCCACATAAATACGTGAAGCGCCCATCTGCCAGACTTACCTCAAAGGACCAATCTGTGTAAGTTTATTCTCTGAGGATCACACAAACTTACTTTGAGGTTCACACCTTACCTGAACCTCCTTCTATGGTCGTTGCCCTTAAGTGCCTGGGAAATACGTGATTTTTGTCTGTTTGGCTAAACACGGTGCCCTGGATGCATTGCTCTTCCGTGTTCATCTGGAAGCATCTGGGCTTTCCCGGGCCTATAGCTGGGGTGTTTCTAAAATTCCTTCCCAAGGGAGCTATGAGCCCCAACTGTCCTATCCTCCTAAGGTTCTAACACAAACCAGAGTGCAAACTCACCACAGTTCACCCCCGGGAAGCAATGAGTTTATTGTGCTTATTTACTTAGAGAGCATGGTGCCTGGGAAGTCTCCTCCCAGCATGGATGATGACTTCCCCATAGCTGCACGGGTGGAAACTTTTCCCCTAGTCCTCTCCAGCCTATATATTTTTGCCCCTTCTAGAGACCTCATGCAATTAGGGCAGAATTGCCTGCAGGCGGCTGGGAGGGGTACCCAGAAACTCGGGTGAGGGTTAGGTCAGCAGTCCACAGGCCTGATTGTGATGGACTCTCGAAGCTAGATAGATGGCAATGGTTTGGCTGAGAGGATAGTACTTTGCATTCATGTTCTTCAGTATTTCTACCCTCAAGACATACCAGATATATTCAACTCATTGTCAAACATAAGCCTAGTGCAGTGCCTTAGGATGACTAGGAAAATGTCGTTTTAAACTAACATCCAACATCCTTTCTTCTCCCTGGCTCCCAGGCTCCATCCAAGGCACCTTCTTGTAGGTCTCTGAGCTCTGACTACCCTGGGCTGCTTTATCACCAATTCCTCTTTGATCCTGACTTTATTTTGCTTGGGTTGCAGTTACGAAGTAGACGTAGATCCAAGGGCCGGCTGGCTCTGGATCGTTCGGCAGGTCTCACTGTAGATCAAAAGCTTGATCTTGTACAAAAGGAGCTAGAAGACACAAGAGATGAACTACGGCACATGCGGGCTAATGCAGAACGGGACCTGCAGCACCATGAGGTATCAGCCTTCCCTCTGGGCTCCACCGCACTGCCCGTGGGGGGTTCACGCCGTTGCCCATCCTTGGGAAGAAACCCAAGGAGGATGAGACAAACGAAGGACCTACCTTCACAGAACCTTCCAACAGCTGTGTGCATGCAACCATTTTTACTTGTTTTAATATAAAATATCAAAAATACTCCAGCATAGAGAACTATCATTGCCAGACCCTATGTGCTCAACACCCAGATATGACAGTCATTAGCATAAGACCACTCTGGTTTGCCTCTCCTTGCTGGGACGTTAGGGAGTGAGCTCTAGGCATATTTTTCTATTGTAAATATTTTATCATCTGTCTCTGAGATTTGATTCTTTTTAAAAGTATAGCCTGGAGCGGGAGAGATGGTTCATAGGTTAAGAGCACTTGTTGCTTTTGGAGAGGACTGGGATTCAATTCCCAGCACCACATGGCAGCTTGTAACCATTTATAACCTCAGTTCCAGGAGCTCTGAAGCCCCGTTCTGACCTTTGAGGGACCAGGCACACATGTGGTATACATACATACATGCAAGCAAACCACTCATATACATAAAAATTATAAAATAAATAAAAGTATTTTAAAAACCATAACCACAATAACCATGCAGGCCCTCACTTTTTTTTTTTACAAGAATTATTTAATAACACAGAACTTTAAGGTCTAAGTGGGTGAATTAGGTGCAAATGCCCAAGTCAGCCTTCATATGCCATGTGTACAGTCATGAACCTGACCTCTGGATTCCAACACATCCATCTTCACTTAGTCCAATAAAATCAGCCCTCCAGAGAAGAAATAATCTATTCATTTAATTTCCCATGCGATGAAGTTATACTGCCTTTGACAGCCACAAGGATGATAAAGAAACATTCCTTAGCACAGGACATGGCGTGGCCTTTGAAGAAGGGTGTCCTTTTTCAGGAAAGGAAAAAGAAGAGCCTCACTGGTGAGGCAGAAGTCATGAGAATGAAGTGACATAGGAACAAGCTTGGCACCTGTTCTCTTGTCTTTCTTTCTCTGTCTGTCTCTCTTGATTTTCCGAGGCCAGGGTTTCTCTGAGTAGCCTTGGCTGTCCTGGACTCACTTTGTAGACCAGGTTGGCCTCAAACTCATAGAGATCTGCCCGTCTCTGCCTCCCTGAGTTCTGGGAAAACAGGCACGTGCCACCCACCATGCCGGACTTGGCAAACTCTCTTATATTGAAGAGCTCAGTTTGGGAATCAGGTTAAGGACAGCAGTGAGGCCTGAGAACCAGTCAGAAGGTTTTTAAAACCTTTCATGTCTTAAAAGCCGGATCCCATTGAGAATGATTGAACAGAAAAACATCATGCTAAAAGCAGCATGTAAGGAGCCCTGTGCTCCCAGGTGGAGTCTGAAGAGATGGAGTGAAGGTACTATTTCTTGTTGGCAAATCAGGAAAGACTGGACTAGAATGATTTACTGTGAGGCCTGAGTGCCTTCCCACTTTATCTCCTAAAAAAGCATGTGTGTGTGTGTGTGTGTGTGTGTGTGTGTGTGTGTGTGTGGTGCATAGTGTTGTGTGTGTATGTTCTTGAACATGTGTAAATATGCTTCAGTGGTCAATGCAGTCCATATTTGTCATAGAGTATTTTATTTAGTTTTTTTTTAAAAAGATTTATTTTTATTTTATAATCATGAATGTTTGCCTGTGTGTATGTCTGTGCGTCACATGCATGTCTGGTGCCCATGAAAGCCAGAGAAGGGTATCAGGTCCCCCAGAACTGGAGTTACGGAGAGTTGTGAGGCAACCTGTGGGTGCTGTGAACAAGAGTTCGCTGTGGGAGCAGCCAGCGCCCTGTCTACCTGACCATCTCTCCAGCCCTGTTATACAGCATTTTAAACGTACAGGTAAGCTAAAGGGAATTTGGAAGCACTGCGCTGCCATCTCAGCAGAAGTACAAGTTTCTCTACACATACGGGTTTCCTTTTAAGAGCCCTCATATTCTCTCAGGAAGTATACTTGTTGCTTTACACCATGTTTCTGTGTCAAAAAGCCTTCCCTTATCTGCAGATGACATGCTCCGAGTTGTCCCAGGGAATCCCAAAACCTTGGATAGTGACAAACCCTATACTCTATTTTCCTCTACACACATGTAATAACTTTTAACTTGTACACTGGGCAAAGCAAGATTAACAATAACCAGTACAGAATGCAACAACCGTAACAAAAAAAAAAATTAATAAAATGCCAGCATCATTTCTTTTGCATTTGGGGGCCTTTATTTAGTAAAAGTAAGGGTAACCTGGATACCAACAGTGAAATCTGCCATCTCCGCACAGTCAATGGATAATCCAAGTGCCTACCAATTGATTAACATGAGGGGGGCATATATAACAGGATACACTGAATAAAAGATGTTTTGTGTCCCAGGTGAGACAGAATGGAAATTTTATAGTGCTATTTAGAATGATGCACTAATTAAAATCTGAATTAGTTATTTCTTGCAGACACTGTTCTGCAAGACACTGAAAGGACTTCTGTGCATATGTATTCATTTGCAGTATCTTTTCTTCAAGTTACAGAGGCATATAAAAGTGCTTTATCATCTCACTAACCCTTCATCTCCGCAGATTTAAGTGTGATTCCTGCTTTGCATTGTATGAGCTGGAGTTTTGGTGATTGTTGGGGGTTGTTTTGATGCTTTATTTTGATGCAAATTACTGACCCTCAAGGTTTGGTTTCTGCCCTGATACACCTATCCTTGTTGTGTAAACCTACCTGATTTGTTGATTAAAGGCCTATACCTGGGCAGGGCAGAATGGGCTTGGTGTGGCTAAAGTTCCAGGCTTTAAAGGACAAGAGAATCACAGGGAGACAGACAGAGAGAGGAGGAAGGAGGACACCAAGATGGGTTAATGTGGAGAAAGAACACATGGACTGGGAGGAAGGACTCCAAGAATGGAGTGGAAAGGCCCAGATAAAGAATAAAAACATGTATTCATAAGATTATGGATGAAAGGTAGCCCAGAAAAAAATGGTTAAGGCAGATGGTATTGGGTGGGGGCTGGGAGATAGATGGTGAGGTGGTAGAAATGGCTGCCTGACCCAAGGTAATAAGGCAATTATAAAAATCTAAAGGTGTCTGTGTCTTATTATTTCTGATAGTGGGGCAAATAGTATCGTTGCAATAACTATAGGGCTAAACATAATAAACATTATGTCGTCCAACATTCATTTTTATTTAGAACAGGTGGTACTGTGTTATTTTGAAACAGGGTCTTACCTTGTAGGCCAGGCTAGCCTCAAACTCATGAGAGTCTCCCTGCTTCATCCCCTCAAGTGCTTGGAGTACAGGTATGTATGCACCATCACACCCAGATTTTCCATGTATTTTATGTCTTGATCTTTAATGGGTAACTAATATTCCTGACATGGAAATAGTGACTGATAACTGGTCTTGTGTTCGGTTTGCCAGCCCCTGTGGATGTTCTAACTTCCAAAGTTCTTGTTTTTGTTCTTTGTGTTTTTTTGTTTTGTTTTGTTTTGGTTTGGTTTGGTTTGGTTTTTCGAGACAGGTTTCTCTTTGTATCCCTGGTTGTCCTGGAACTCATTTTGTAGATCAGGGCAATCTTGAACTCAGAGATCTGCCCGCCTCTGGCTCCAAAGTGCTGGGATTAAAGGTGTGTGCAGCCACCACCCAGCATACATGTTTTAAAAATAGTAGTTGTCATATACTCAGGTTTGTACTTAAAGATATCTTTCTAAGCCTAAGAAGAAACACCTGCGTCAAGACAGAAGGCAACGGGGCTAGAGGAGCCCTTGGAGGACGTGCTGTTGAAGCCTTTTGGAAACTCCCGTCTCTCTCGTGCCGACCCTTCCAGGCTATCATCGAGGAGGCGGATATTCGGTGGCATGAGCTTCAGAGAGTGGTGCACGAGTTTGAAAAGGATATCCTGAAAACTATAGCCAAGAAGAAAGGGAGCATTTTGGCCACTCAGAAAGTGATGAAGTACATTGAGGATATGAACCGCCGGAGGGTGAGTTGCTGGCAGTTAGAGCTTGGGCTTGAAGCATCGATTCTTAGGCCAGGCTTGGTGGTGCATACCTTTAATCTAAGCACCCAGGAGACAGACAGAGGCAGGTGGATCTCTGTGAGTTCCAGGTTAGCCTGATCTACATAGTTCCAGGACAGCCAGGATTATGTAGAGAGACCCTGTCTCTGGGGGGGGGGGGGGGGGAGAAAAAGAAAGAAGTCTACTGCAGCTGTTCCTTGTCTCAGACAAGACAGCAATGCCTGTGGTTCAGTAAAGGGTAAACCACTCAGGACAGGGTTTCAGGGAACAGCATCTGCTTTACCGCACGTGAGCAACCACTTATACAGTGGAAGCCTATTGACTGTGACTGGCTGGCACATTACCTCAGACTGGGGAGTGAGCGCTCACATCACCAGGGTCTCTAGGAGATGTGGAGGGTGCAGACTCGTCCACAGGCCAGCTACAGGCTACCCACTCTACTTCAGAATTCAGTGTTCTGACCTCAGGAGCGCGGTGCAGTGTGCCGAGAAGGCTGGCCACCAGGTCAGGCCTGCATTTTCTCCTGTACTCCCCTACAATACTACCAACATATGTAAAACTTTTTAAATCTCCAAATGTGCATGTATTTCAATTTTTAAAAATGTCATGTATATGGTTTTTTGTGTGTGTGTTTGTATGTCGTTTTTGCCTACGTAGATAAATGTGTACCATGCGCATGCCTGGTGCTTGTGCAGGCAAAGGGAGCACATCGGATCTCCTGAAACTGGACTCAAATAAGCTTCCACGTGGGTGCTGGGAATCAAAGCCCTGTCCTAGTGAGGAGCAGCCAGTTCTCTTAAAGGCTGAGCCATCTTTCCAACCCCCAAAGCATGCCTTTTAAATGCATGTTTATGAAGGCAAAACCAAAAAGGCAATGACAAAACCAAGACCAACCAGGAAGGATGACTGCTCACAGTATCAGCTTGGTTTCCTCTCGTTTATTTTGGGTTTCATGATCTGTGTGTTTCCCTGAGAAAGCTACAAACTAGTCCGGTTACTGCATAGGGTGAGATAGGTCGCTCTCAAGCCTTTTTCATCTCCTTCCTATAAGGAGATGGACTCAGACTAACATGAGAAAGGAAGGGAATTGGGTGAGGAGAGTAAGCTTTCAACTGTGCATAATAGTTAAGCATGCTAACCTGGCATCACTTGAGCAGGGTTCTTAATCTTTTTTTTTAAATTTTTTATTAATTACACTTTATTCATTTTGTATCTCCCCATAAGCCCCTCCCTCCTCCCCTCCCGATCCCACCCTCCCTCTCCTTTCTGCATGCATGCCACTCCCCAAGTCCACTGATAGGGGAGGTTCTCCTCTCCTTTCTGATCTTAGTCTATCAGTTCTCATCAAAATTGGCTGCATTGTCCTCTACTGTGGCCTGGTAAGGCTGCTCCCCCCTCACGGAGAGGTGATCAACGAGCAAGCCAATCAGATTATGTCAGAGGCAGTCACTCTTCCCATTACTATGTAACCCACTTGGACACTGAACTGCCATGGGCTACATCCGTGCAGGAGTTCTAGGTTATCTCCATGAATAGTCCTTGGTTGGAGTATGAGTCTCTGGGAAGTTCCCTGTGTTCAAATTATCTTGTTCTGTTGCTCTGCTTGTGGAGTTCCCATCCCCTCCAGCTCTTACTATTTCCCACTTCTTACATAAAATTCCATTCACTCTGCCCATCAGTTGGCCATCTTAATCTTTTTTTTTTTAAGATTTATTTCTTCATTTTATGTATACAAGTGCTCTATCTGCATGTACACCTGCATGCCAGAAGAGGGCATTAGATCATATTATAGATAGGGTCGCTGGGAATTGGATTCAACACCTTGGAAGAGTAGCCAGTGGGCTTAACCGTTGAGCCATCTCTCCAGCCAGAGGGTTCTTAATCCTAACACATTATGAAAGATAAAAAGTTTGCAGCCTGCCCTCTGAACAAAAGGTCAACGAGGCCCAAGATTGTATTGTCAGTAAAGGCCCCTGCAGTGGCACCACACCCGAGCCATGCCAATCGAGGAAGCCCTGTGACACTGGCAAAGACCCAACCCAGCTTTCAGTGAAATGTCATCTCAACGCCAGTTTGGGCAGAATGAAGATGGCGGGAAAGAAATGACTGAATGCTGGTGCGCAAGCTCTGCTTTGTAGTCCCAGGTTTACTATTCAGATCAACAGGGGAAAAGAGGACTAACTGATTAAAATGTGCTTTTTTTTTTTTTTAAAGGATAATATGAAGGATAAATTATGTTTGAAAAACGTTTCTCTCAAAGTTCAGAAGAAAAAGATGCTCTTACAACTGAGGCAGGTATGTGGATTTTTTTTTTTCTTTCTTTTAAAAAAGATAATCTAAGTGCCTTAGTTAGAGTTTTCTTGCTGTCAAGAGATACCATGACCATGGCATCTCTTATAAAGGAAAATATTTAGTTGGGGCTGGCTTCAGTTTCAGAGATTTGCTCCATTGTCATCATGGCAGGAAGCATGGAAGCATGCAGACAGATATGGTACTGGAGAAGGAATGGAGAGTTCTACATCTTGATCCGCAGGCAGCAGAAGGAGACAGTGTGTGCCTTGAGCATATGAGACCTCAACGCCCACCTTCAGAGTGACACACTTTCTCCAACAATGTCACACCTACTCCAACAAGGCCACACCTAATATCGACCAAGCATTCAAACACATGAGTCTGTGACGGACATTCCTATTCAAACCACCACACTGAGTAATATCCCCACCCATCAGCCCTCCCACCCCTGACAGTCCTGTCCTAGTCCCTGGAATCTTTGGACAGGTTATTTTACAAAGCAGAAGAACTTTTGCAGTTGTTATTAGTTTATGGGTCTTGAGGTGAGGAGATGTTCTAGTTTTATTTCTGTTGCTGTGATAAAATACTTTGAGAAAAAGCAACTTAGGGGAGAAACAACAGTTTTTCAGCTTATAGTTCCTGGTTATGGTCCAGCATTACAGGGAATTCAAGGTGGCAGGTACTTCAAACAGCTAGTCACATGACATCCACACTTCTCTAGTCAAGAGCAGGAAAAAATGTGCATATGTTTGCTTGCTTGTTTGTTTGTTTGTGCTCATCTGGATTTCTGCACTCTTAATACAGTTCAGGACCCCTTGCCTAGGGGATGATGATACCCACAGTGGACTGGGTCTTCCTACATTAATTAGCCTAATAAGACTCCCCAACAGGGCAGCCCAATATAGATAAACCCTTGTTGAGACACTCTTCATAGGTGATTTTAGGTTGTTTCAATTGGACAATTAAAGCTAACCTACGAAGTAGATGACCTTGGAATACCTGGCTGCCCCCAACATCACTTTCCTCCTATGAGAGAAAGGAAAGAGGGTGAGAGAAAACATAATAAGCAGAGGTCAAAATGATGATAATCGTGATAGAGGAAGGGGTCACGAGCCAAGGAATACAGGTAGCTCCCAAAAGCTGGGAAGAACAAGGAAATGTTCTTCCCAAGAGCCTCCATAAGGAACGCAGCACTGATAACATGATTTTATCACCAAACCCGTTCAGACCTTCAGGGGAAAGTAATATACCTCCATGCGTGTAAGCCACTGGGTTTGAAGCCATTTGTTGAAACCAATATAGCTTCTGGGCAGGCAAATTTAAGGCTTTCTGTAAACAAAGCCGGCTTGGACTTGAGATTCTTATGACACGTGTGGATTTTGAGGGATGTGGCCAAGTGGGATCAGTGCACTGTACCGTGGTGTTTCAACAGTTGACTTCCAGGACTCCCAGTTAAAGGCAGGAGGGCTGGTGTGGCCCCAGGATCCTGGAGCACGGTCTAGAGCGCCAGCATTTCCTTGACCAATGTTTTTATCATTATATCAAATGTGGGTGCTGATGACATGTGCCTCAGAGGTAGCCATGAACAGTGACATAGGACTGGGACAGGACATTGGTCATGTCAGTCAACTAGTGCTTGGTGGAGTCAGGATCCAGAAAGACCTCAACAAGCTGCAGCAGCCCTAACGTGACTAAGGAGAAATGTAAGACTCCCAAAATACCTGCATAATCCCAGGTTTAGATTAAAAGTCTAGGACAATAAGCTCAGCAGGGGCCCAGGCTGTCCTAGAAACACAAACCAGACCAAGGAGGGACTGGCTCTGCTCTGCCCTTCCCCTGGCAGCCCCACCAACATAAACTCCACATTTGAAAGCAACAGACAGTGTGGTGAGTGCAAGAGGAGGGAGGGTGGCTGTCTGTGCCTAGGGCTGCTGTGGAAAGGAAGATCAAGGGAGGGCTAGAAAAAGGAACGCTGCCCTGCGGCTGCCTGCAGAGATGAGCTCCTGGTCTCCAGGGCTTTGTGCAGGCTCAGGCATCATGCTGAGGGGTCTGGACGTGGGGAGGATGTGGATGACCTTTAACATATATGCCATTGCTGCGCAGAGAGATGTGGATGTGAGCCCTGGTGCGTAGCACCATACCAATGCCCAGGACGTTTTCACGCGGTGGTGGCAGGTCTCCAAAATCTCGGCAGATTTCGAGGTGGGAGCTTAAGCTGATGGTCACCCCTGACCTTGCCTTTCTGAATCACAGAAGGAGGAGGTGGGCGAGGCCCTCCATGATGTCGACTTTCAGCAGCTGAAAATCGAGAACGCTCAGTTTTTAGAGACGATCGAAGCGAGGAATAAAGAGCTGATCCAGCTGAAGCTGGCCTGTGGGAACACCTTACAGGTTCTCAACACCTACAAGGTAAGCCCACCTCAGGGCCAGGCACCCTGCCTGGCTTCCTCCAGCCACCTGTGAACACCAGGAGTTTCCCAGCCCGTGGGCATCTCCTGCTGTCCCCTGACTTCTTCTGACTTGGTAAAGCCTGGTCTCCTAAAACCCCCAGAATGTTTTCACAGTCCTATCCGTACATGAGGCCCACCTGGGAGCTTTCTCCTTGTGAACACATACATCTGTGTTCTAGTCCCACCCTGACTGATTGAATGAGCTGGTGAGGGCCATGGACCTGGCTTTGTTTTGAATTCCCCAGGAGGTTTTTGTGTTTGAAAGTGAACCACGTTCGGGCCCCATTTAATTGAGGTATGTATCCGGCACTTCACAAACCCTGCAAAGGAAAACAGTCTCCGCTATAAATCAGAAAACTACTAAATTATTTAACAGCCGAATGCAACGCTTTGGGGGAAGAGAAAAGAGGCACTATTAATAATTCAGCAGGGACTATGGGCATGAATAGGGCCTATCCTCAGCAGACCAGGCCATCTGCTCACCCTGTGAGGAGTGAAGTATTGCAGTGGCCGGCAAAATGAGTGAGCAGGTTGTGTGTCGTTCACCCCCACTCAGCCCGTTTCCTCCCCCTTCCCCTCCCCTAGCCAAATGGCCTGTGAGCTAAGAATGGCCTTCGCTGAGAAACACTTGCATGTAACTCAATGGAGAACACTGTCAAACCAACTCAGAAAAACTGACCTGCTTTCTAGAAAGTCCATCTCTATCACAGATGTGATAGAGATCTTATTATATATATATATGCATATATAAAATACATATATTCAGTTCTCTCCTACCATGTGGCTCACAGGGATTAAATGCAGCATGGCAGACAGGTCCACCCACTGAGCCACCTCACCAGCCCTGTTCGAAAGTATGGTGCCCGGTCGCCATTCTGCTTGTAGGAACGTGGGAGCCTTTCCCTCGCTAGCATGAGTCACTATATAGTGTGTAAAATTTTGCCCCTGGTCCTGCAAGGTTGAAAAAGTTTACCCTCTGGCCCTCCACAGAATGAGGTTGCTGGCTCCTGTGCCTAGGTGACAGTGGTGGCGGTGGCTTGGTTAGCTCCTACATAAGCTTCATTTGGCCCACAAGAATGTGAACTTGTAGCCAGGCAAAGTAGCATGTGTCCATAATCCCTGTGCTTGGGGGTGGGGAGGGCAGCTTGGGCAACACAGGGAGACCTTGCCTCCTAGCGAACAAAAGCTCCAAAAATCCTCCACAGGAAAAGCGAAACAAAGTGAGACCAGACTTAACATTTGCTCAACATTTTTTCTTTACAAACAAACAAACAAACAAACAAACACACAAAAACCCTGAAGTGAAAATGCTGAGGTTTTTGGCAAGCCAGTGGGGGACCGACCGCCTGCCGCGTGTGCATTCCACTCGCCCTCCTTCATCCCACAGAGCACGAAGCAATACCGAGCCAGCATTCTGAGGCTCACGTGTGGTTAACGAGCAGACCGTCCACGTTTGGCTTACGCCATCTGAACAGTTACTTCAAGATGAGCCCAGCCCAGGTCTTCCAGATCCTCAATGCCCGGAGACCTGGGTAGGACTCGGCTAGCTGACACTGGTCCTCGACTTCATCCCGTGGAGACAGCTCAGCAGCTCAGTGCCTGCCTGGACTTGTAGAGTTTGGGCAGTGGAACTACGGTTTCCACGGTGAAGCTGCCAGGTCTCGGAGTCTGTCCTCCGTAGGGTGGGTCATGGCGTAGCCTACTGGAGAAATGGGAGCAGCAGCACAGCTGGCCAGTCGGAATAGTGCCTGTGAGCCTATTTCCCATGAAGGTGAACAAAGGTGGAGCCAAAAGAGATGTTCACCGGAGTCCCAGGGTAGGCCCAAGTAAGGAACTGAGGGAGAAGCTGTCTTGCTGCTTCTGCGGCTTCTCTTGTGTCCCAGTTCTCAGCTCTCATGGGAGAAGAGAGCAGGAGTGACATTGGGAGTCTGACGCTACCTGGGGTTGGCTGGCGGCTGTGCTGGCGGGAATGACGAGGTTTCATGCAGTACAGGTGCTTCAGCTATCAGAGGCAAGGTCTCACCCCTGGAAGGAGTGTGGTCTGTGTGGTGTGCCCAGAAGTAGAGAACAAGGCCTGCCCAGAGCAGGTGCTCAGCGAAGAGCAGCTAAGTGTCAGCAGTTTAGCTGTATATTTGGCGGTCATGGGAAGGTGAAAGGGAGAGCCATTTGTCACATATATCAAATACCCAAGTAAGACACTTTGTTGAAAACATTCAGATTAACTCTTTATTGGCAAAACACCGATGCCTGTGCCTGCCAGGGACCCGGCCAAATGCTCAGGGCACAGCTCTGAGAACATCCAGGCAGACCCCTTTTCTTCTGTGACTCTCCTCGGTGAGCCTGAATGTGGACGGCGCTGGTGTTTCCTCTGACTCCATGGACTTCAAAGAAATGCACTCTGCCAGCAACCATTATGCTTAAGAGAGGCCCTCGAAATCTAGACACAAGCTGAGGTCATGGCCAACTCCTAGATTTCGGCCTGGTGGCCCTATGGGCAGAGAAGCCAGCTTCCCTGTGCCCTGGGTGAATGGAGACAAGGAGCGGCCGTCGATTTAAGCATGGACTCTGAAGGTGCTTTCTGTTACACTGGAAAGCCAGGCCTGTCTTTTCTGTAGTGACCTCAAGTGGCTGACTCTGCCACTGAGCGGCCCTCATGCGGTTTGGCGTCATGTGGCCGAACAGAGCAGCGTTGATTCCGCCCTGCCTCTAAGAGCTAGGGAATCATCTCCACTGGCTCTTCTCCCTCCCACCTGAATGGCTGGCTTGTGGTAAAGCTCTGCCAAATGCTGCCTTCAGCCCTGCACCCCACAGCGGACCCATGTTTGTCTAGTTTCTCGTCCTCACACAGGGCAGGGAATAGGAAGAAAAGGCTTCAAGAAGCGAAGCCTGGAAGAACCAGGAGTGAGTGGTTCCTAGGTGGCACCAGGCATCTCTGCTTCCTCTAAGTTTTGAGATTCTGGGGCAGCGTCCCTGCAGCCTCCTCTTCCCATTGGCTTTGTGATCTCTTCCAGCTCCTTTGGGACCCTCTTTCTCCCCTACCCTTTCCTTGCCCCCTCTTCCTTCGTCACAGAGCAAAGTGTGCTTTTATTTTTTAGTTCTCTGTTCTCATTCCTGCTGCAGGACACCCCCACTCCCGACACACACCAGCTTCTGCCCACTGTGTGCCCCTTGGCACAGGTGCAATCCTGGAATTCTTCTCACCATGATTTTGTGCCTCCTCACCTCTCCTGGCATGGGCTGTGTGAGTGAGCTTCCTGGAGGCAAGGCCTAGACTGTTTCATTAGCCGTGCCCAGTCCTCAGCCAGGCAGAGTACATTCCAGCATTTCTAGAGACTTCCCTGCAGGGTAGGGCCCAGGGAGAATGTTCCAGAGGAGGCCAATCAAAGCAGCAGGGGCTCGGGGAACTGAAGGCCAACTAATGCAGTGGGCATCCATGAGGCAGTTTCTGCAGGGTTCTCTGACACCAGCAGGCCCAGCTCCTTTAGGCAGAAGTATGTCATGGAGCTCAGAGGCTGAGAGACCACATCACATCCATTAAATCCTGGCTCCCTTGCTTTTACATGGGGAGAGAGGTTGGATCCTTCTCCTACTCCCTCGTGAGCTGGTCGTGACAGCCGTGCAATGCTCTGCTCCCTCTAGCAGGATGTCTGCTCACAACCTAGCAAGGTGACCGTATCCCTGTTTGGCGACTTAAAGTTTCTCTTAGGAAACAGTGCGGCAAGATTTGAGTTCAGTTGTTGGAGCACTCCGCAGTCTCCATGGGAGGTCAAGATCCCAAGGTCCTCTCCTTTCCCCCAGCCTGTTCTCAGACACCAGGTCTGGACATGTTTGGCGCTCCCAGTCGATAGGCGTCTATGTAGATGGCGTGGACAGCCTTGCCTCGCTCCTGTCTCCCCTCCCTGCGGTTCTGAACGCTCCTCTTACCGTGTGCCCTGCTGTGTGTTTCAGAACAAGCTTCATCGGGCCATGGATATATACAACAATCTAGACAAGGAGATCATGATGAGAAATGAGCTGCTTGGGAAAATTGAAAAAGAAACCATTCATGCAGAGGAGGTAAGGGGCCAGCAGTTACTGTTTTTGATGTTTGCCTCCTCCTGTCCACAGGGGTCACTGTCCACCAAGACCCCAGGTCCTTGGTTGTCAATCTAGAGGAGGAGCCCAGACCACAAAAATCAAAATAGCTTTGAGCCACAAAAGCAGACGCTGGACTCACAGCTCAGTGATGTGACATTTACTGCTGGGTAATGTTCAAGTGTTTGCGCACAAAGAGCATGCCAAGGTACCACTTGGAGAGTTCTGAGGTTCTGTGCCTATAACCTTTAAAAAATATGTAATGTAAGTGGGTGTGGTGGTGCCTGCCTGTAAGCCCAGCGACCCGGGAGGCAGAGGCAGACAGATCTCTGTGAATTTGAGGCCAGCCTGGTCTACAAAGTGAGTCCAGGACAACTACACAGAGAAACCGTCTTGAAAAACCAAAACCAAACCAAACCAAACCAAAATAATGTGTATAGCAATGTAACTGATACAAAATGTACAATGTTTTATATAAAGGTAGAGATGGGAGGGAACAAGAAGGGGGGAGGAAGGAGGGGAAGGGTGCTTTGTGAAGCACATCTGTCCTTTGGATGTTCAGCTTGAAGGACTGTGACCCCTGGCCAGCCAGAGCTCGCTCCACAGCCAATAGTCGGAGTGTGGAAGGGTGGGCGGGGTCACGCAGTGCACCAACACTGCATGCTCTCAGCACGTGTTAGCTGACTCTCTGTCGTGTGTATACTACACTAGAATGTTATCCAGAGAGGATCCCTCGGGAAGGAGAGAGTCCATTGGCTTCCTGGCGGAAGGCCTGGCCTCCGTTCAGGACTGCTGCGTGTATTTGAGTGTGACAGGACCTTTTTCACACGTATAAAATAGAGGTCAGGGTCCTTGTGGTAATGACTAAATAAGTCTACCTATAAAGTGCTTTGTCAGCCTCTAAGCCATGAGTACAGTTATTAGTGTCACGGTTTTGAGGGGATCTGAAGTGTCTCCAGGAATTTGTGTGACCCAAACCTGTTCACGGTGGCCAGAACCCCACAGGATTGCCACATCAGACCGTGGGGTCAACACCCACCTCATGTGCTTGATGGAGAACCAGCTCCCACAGAAAGCCTTGGGACAGAGTGGCAGGGGCCAAAGCTGAAGCTGCAGTCTGACCATTGTTTTTTCCTCTGGGTTTGATCACTGCTAAAGCTTAAAATCTACCTTTTAAAGTCCTGCAATTCTTTATTTAGCACATCTTATTTTTCCTGTTAGCTTCTTTTTCTCAGTGCTGGGGACTGAACCCAGGGCTTCTCGCATGTTTTACAAAGGTCACACTTCCATCCTGCCTTAGGTACTTTCCGATTAAAGTGTTTCCGATAAAACACCATGACCAACGCAACTCGTACAAGAAGTGTTAATTCCGGGCTCATGATTTCAGAGGATTAGAGTTCACGATGGCGGTGCAAAGGCACAGTGGCAGGGGCAGCTGAGAGCTCACACCTTGATTGGAAAACTGGAGGCAGAGAGAGGCACTGGGAATGGGCTGAGTTGTTTTGGACCCTCAAAGCCTGCCCCCGATGATATACCTGCTCCAGCAGGGCCTCATCTTCTAACCTATTCCAAACAGTTCCACCAACTGGAGACCAAGTATTCAAATATATGAGCCTATAGGGGCCATTTTCATTCAAGCATCACATGGCTCTTTGTTACCTTTAAACAAACAAACAAACAAACAAACAAACAAGGACTCACTATGTAGCTCTGGTTGGTCTGGAATTCCTTATGTAGACCAGGCTGGCCTCACAGAGATCTGCCTACCTCTGTGTCCTGAGTTCTAGGATTAAAGGTGTGTTACTACCATGCCTGGGTTCTTTGTTAACTTTTTGTTTCTCTGAGACAGAGTTTTTCTGTATAGTGCTGCCTGTCCTGGAACTCACTCAGTAGACCAGGCTGGCCTTGAACTCAGAGAACTCAGAGAACCTGCCTCTGCGTCTTGAGTGTTGGGACTGAAGGCATATGTTACCATGCCTGGTGCCTTTATTAACATCAAAAGACAAGTTTACTGAGAGCATACAGCTCAAGAGTGTGTGGCATAGTCACAGTTAGACTATTGGCACAATAAACCTAGAACCTCTTCATCTCCCAGGAAGAAACCCTGGCCCTGTTCCAAACCCTTCTCTATTCCCCATCTCACCTTCCTTCCTTCCTCCAGCCTAGTCAACCACTGCTATACAGTGTGTCTTTGTATGTTTTCCTACCTGGACATTTCAGATAAAAGGATCCATCACATATATGGGTCTTGTTTGTTTGTACGTGGGGTTCCACTTTTCAGCTACTGTTGGTGCTGGTACGAATATCCTTGTTTACAGTTTTTGTGCAGCTGTGCTTTCTTTCCTCTTGAGTATGTAAATAAAGTAGAATTGTGAGTTACACACAGCAATACTATGTTGAACATTTGGAGAAACCGACAAATTGCAATGTGGCTACAATATTTTACATTCTCACCAGTAGTATGTTAGGCTCCAATTTCTGTACACTATCTTAAGGCTTTTATCTTAGTTTGTTTTATTTATTTTGTGTGTGTGTGTGTGTGCGCGCGCGCGCGCGCGCACATGTGCCCCTGGAGGTCAGAGACATTGGATCTCCCTGGAGCTAGAAGCTGTAACTTCATAACAGGCAGTAATGAGCCATCTGGTGTGGGGGCTGGGAGTCACACCCAGCCCTCTGTAAAAGCAGCAATGCTCTATTAACCGCCAAGCCACCTCCCCAGCCCCATTTTAAAGTACAATTTTATTACTTCTTTGGAAATTTCATACAGTGTCTTATGATCATGTTCACCCTCACTCCTCCCCCAAACTCCTTCCAGATCTACCACCTACTTCTCCACCCACTCTCCAGACTTTGTGTCCTTTCTCTCCTTGTTTTTAATAGCACGCTGAGTCCACTTTGCACTGAGGGATATTCTCCTAGATGTGGGGCCATCCACTGGAGTGTGGTGGACCTGACAGGGGCCCCGCCGACACTATTCCTCACAACTCCAGAAGCCAGCAGCTACTAACAGCTACCAACAACTCCTCAGTTACGGCTGGCTCGAGGCCAGAGCAATGACTGGCTTGGTTTTCTGCAGGTCTTTTGCAGGCAACCACAGGCCCTGTGAGTTCACCAATGCAGGAGCCCCATCCTGTCCAGCAGTCATTGTTTTGCCCCAGATTTGCTAACCTCTGGCTCTTACAGTCTTTCTGCCCCCACTTCCATGTCGGTCCCCGGGCCTTGGGAGTGGAGGTGACGGAGATGTTCCGTCTGTGGTTGAGCACTCCGCTAACACTTACTTTCTGCACTTTACATCTTGGTTTCCTAAGCGGGTTCCAAGGATTGAACTCAAGTCGTCAGACTGGCGAGGAAAACATTTTTGACCACTGAGCCATCCTATGGGTCCCTTCTATACATTCTCGCCAACATGTCACTATTTCTCTCTAATGGCCATCCAGGTCGGTGTGAAGTTGTGTGACTTGTTATGGTTTTTATCTGAAACTCCCTGGTGATTAATGACACAGTGTACCTTTTCCTGCTTGTGGTTCCTTGCCTGTTGTTTCAGAGAAATGTGCACTCCAAGTCCTTTGCTTCACTTTTAATTAAGTTTTCTTTAAAATTTGAGTTTGCATGAATTCTTTGCATATCCTAGATTTAATCTCTTATCACCTATATTATTTTTACTTTTTCTGTGGTGTTTTTTAATTTCATTTTATGTGCATGAGTTTCTTACCTGCATATATGCCTGTGTACCATGCACCTGCCCGGTGCCCAAAGAAAGCAGAAGAGGGAGTGGGGTCCCCTGGAGTTGGAGTTACAAATGGTTGTGAGCCACCATGTTCTAGGTGCACAGGAATTGAACCCAGGTCCTATGGAAGAGAAGCTACTGCTCCAAACCACTGAGCTATCTCTCTACCTCTCTTTCATCTTCTTCATGGTACTGTTTATAACACAGGGCTTTAAAATTTTGATGAAGTCCAATTCATGTTTTTCTTTCACACTGTGCTGTGAGGTTGAAGGTGCTAAGAAGCGATGCCTAGTCAGAATGCTAGGCAGATGCTCTGTCTCCCGTCAAGTTGTAGAGCCCTAATTCTTGCATCTAAGTTTTGAGATAACTTTAAAAAAATGGTGTGAGAGGAGAATTCGAGAGCTAATAGAAAAGAGGGTTTAATGGTAAAACTTATGGCACTAACCGCATTTTACCATTTGTGGTTTTCTTGTTCCTTCCTGTGGATTGGAGTTGCCACCTAAAGTTGCTTTTCACTCACTTGCAGCTTTGTTTCCATTATGTTCTTTGTACTTTCACTGTTCAGATACATTTTCCTTTTTATAGGGCATAGGCCTATTTGCTTTCATTTTTTAATCAAGTAAGAGATCCATGACTAGTACTGATAATGACTCACATAATGTTTGTCTTAATGAAAACTTCCAGGCCCTCCGCTGTCACTTGTCTTCAGCCTGTGTAATTCCCTTAGTACTTATTATAAAACACATGTGCTAGGTTTCTCCGGGTTTTCCTTGATGTGTGAATCTTTTTATTACTCTTTCACTTAAATAGCCATGTGCTGGAGGTTGTAGTGAGAATTCTGGATTTTTTTTTTTAACACAGAAATGAATAAGAATGTTTTCATCTTAGTCCCAGGTGTGGGGTTATGGGGCTGCGTCCCAGTAGCTGGCTATGATTTGCCTCGTGCTCTAGCAGAGGTATAATTTTGCCAGCTGCAGAAAGTTTCTGCAATTGTGTGACATTTGGAATTCTGGGAAAGTTTCGGAGGATATATAAATTCTAGAGCCCCACAGATGGGATGGGTGGTTGGTGGTGGTTCAGGAGGTTGTTTGGGGTTTGTTAGTAGTTGTGCTTAAAGAAACAAAAGGAAAGAAATTAGATTAAAGGATCTCTGTCTCTGTGTCTCTCTGTCTGTCTATCTGCTTGTCTCTCTTTCTCTTTCCCTTCTATCTTTCTTTTTCTCCTATCTAGTGATAGGGGGTGGAACTGGGGGGATAAAGGATGGGAAAAAGAAGAACCCACAAAGTAGCAAAAACTGGCTATAAGACATAGTAGCTCACGCTTTTAATCACAGCACTCAGGAGGCAGTGGCAGGTAGATCTCAACAAGTTGGAGGCCAGCCTGGTCTACATAGTGAGTTCCAGGACAGCCAGGGCTACAAAGAGAGAGCCTGTCTCAAAACAAAATAAAACAACAACAACAAAATAAATAGCCCTTTATTATAAATTTTATGTTTATAGAAAAATAAAGATATTCAGAGAAGTTCTTTCTGCCCCACATTTGTTTTCTGTTTTAACAATTAACGTCAGCATGATGTTTGTTACAATTAATGAATGACATTGGTTTATTATTATTGACTAAAGTCTATGTTTTCAGATGCACTTCCTTTGTTTTTGATTGATGTCCTCTGACTGTTGCAGATCCCATCCAGGATATCCCTACACTCAGTTGTTATAGCATTCTAGACTCCTCCTGGCCTTCCCTGGCATGAGAAGATGCTGTGTGCTCATCTTGGATGAGTCTCATTCCATCTAAGGATCAGCATTTTTTCAAGTTCTGATCCATTTTAATTGACAGCATCATTAGAAATAAGTGCCCAGGGCTGGGGCGATGGCTCAGTCAGTAAAGTCAAACAGGAAGACTGGAGTTTGGATCCCCAGCACCCTTATAGGCTGGCACGGAGATGCACGTCTGTAACTTTAGTGCTGGTGACCATAGGGGTAAGGGGGAGACAAGAAGATCCCTGGTGATCATGAGCTGGCCAACCTACCCAAATCAGTGAAGCTCCTGGTTCAGTGAGAGAGCCTGCCTCAAAAAAAAAAAAAAAAAAATACAATAGGAAGTAATCAGGAAAGATACCCATATAGGTACCTGCATGAATATGTGAACATACTATACAAACATACATAAAACACACACACACACACACACACACACACACACACGGGGAGGGGAGAGAAGAAGGGGGAGCTTTTCTTACCTCCATATTTAGCGTATGTTGTATTCCATTGTCCTGTGGCCTCTGTTGCTTCCGATGAGCAGTCAGGTGTTGATCTGCCTATGGTTGCATGTGGGATTGTGCTGTTTCCTGCCCCTCACCCCCCACCTCAAGCTCTTCCTTTGCTTTATCATTCAATGTTAGGAGTGTGCGGTATTTCACTTACCGTCATCAGAGCTTGTTCAATTATCTGGGTGTCGAGCTTAATGTTTTCTGACTAACAGTTGGGAGGTTCTTATCCACGGAACCTTTGAGCAGTTTTCTCTTCCTCTCTCCTTTTCCCCTTCTGTTACCACCACGACATGTGCCACACCCAGTGCTAGCTACATTTCTTTGAAACTGCCAATTTTTCTGTTTTCACTTCCTCTCTTCATGTTGCATAATCTCTACCAATCTATCTTCAAGTTCAGTGCTTGATTCCCCTACTAGCTTAAATCTACTATTGATTCCCCACAATGATGGAGGACTTCTTTTCCATTATTCTACTAAAAAGGACCCCAGGTGCGCTACTTCTTAAAGATTCATTTTTTATCATGTATAAGTGTGTATGACTATGTGTGGGTATGTGCAGTGAATGCAGGCGCCCACTGAGGCGAGACTCATCAGATCCCCTAGAGGCTGGAGTTACAGATGGTTGTGAGCTGCCTGATAAAGATGCTAGGGACCAAAATTAGATCCTTGGAAAGATCCGTAACCCTCTCTTAACCACTGAGCCATCCATCCAGCCTCAGGTTCCCCATTTAAAAAATAATGGTTGTCAGGCATAATGGCTCATGCCTTCAATCCCAGCACTTAGGAGACAGACATAGGTGAATTGATAAACGTAAAGAATTTTAGGACAGCCAGAGGTACATAGTGAGACATTGTCGCAAAAAAAAAAAAAAAAAAACCAAAAAAACCAAAAAGTAATGATAACAATGATGATGACGTCTTTTTATTATGATTATCTATTTGATGAGATGTTATCATCTTTTACTGATTTTTTTTTTTTTTGAGGGGCTGGAGAGATGGCTCAGTTGTTTAGTGCTCTACCAGAGGTCTTGAGTTCAATTCCCAGCACTCAACATGGTGGCTCACAACTGTCTATGATGGGATCAGATGTCCTTTACTGGTATACAGACAAAGCACCCATACACATAAAATACATAAATTATTTTTAAAGGTTTTTTTTTTTTTGAGACACAGTTTTGCTATGTAACCCAGGATGGTTTCAAACTCTTGATTCTCCTGCTTCAGCCGTCTGAGTGCTGGCATTGGAAGGGTTTCACCACCACACCCATTCTCCATTAAGTCTTTAAACATGATCTACTTTGGGTCCTCGAATAGCTTCTTTGAAACTGTGCATTCAGTCCACCATCTGGACAGCTCATGTTGCCTACTTTTTGTTCTGTCCTTCTAGGGGGGTTGAATTTTCCTGTTTTGCTTTTGTCCACCTCACAATTTTTGGAAAACCGTGTGTTTTAGATAATACAGCAACTCAGGATAATCCCCTGACTCCTTTCCTGGCATTGTCACTGTTTAGCGATCTGGTTGGACCAGGTCAGTAGATGCTGCTTCTCCTACTGCTAATGTTGTCAGTGGTCTCAGCCTTGTGATTACACAGTCTGACAACCAGGCACGGTGCTGTTCCAGGTGAATTCTTTTTTTTTTTTTTTTTGTCTTCCTGCTAAACTGTTTCTGCAGGAATCCCACCCAGCTATGAATCCATGTTAGTTACTGGCTAGTTTCTTTATTACTTTCAGACATCCTGTGGGGTACTGCCTCACATTCTGATCGAGTTTAGCACCAGGCCACTTTGCAGCAAGGTGTAGTCAGTCTCTGAGGCTTGCTCTATACACGTGGCAGGCTCTTCTTGGTCTGTTTGTCTGGTTCTGTTAACCATCTGGCTGCTCAACTGTTTTTGTTTGTTGTCACTTGTATTACTGAACCTGGCTAGTTTGCTATCAACTTGAGACAGAGTCATTTTGGAATAGGGGATCTCAACTGAGAAAACGCCCCTGCCATATTGGCCAATGGGCAAGCTGTTGGTGCATTTTCCTGACTTACTATTGATGCGAAAGGGCTCAGCTCACTGTGGGCAATGATGACCCTGGGCTGGTGTTCCTGGGCACTATAAGAAAGCAGGACGAGAAGCTGGAGAGACAGATTAGTGGTGAAGAGCAAGTACTACTTTTGTAGAAGGCTTGGGTTTGGTTCCCACATTACATCCTGCCGCTCACAACTGCCAGTAACTCCAGCTGCAAGAGATTCAACACTGTGCACTCATCTGCACAAACCCACACACATATACACATACAAATAAAAAAGACAGACAGGAAGGAAGCAAGCAGGCTGAGCAGCCATTAGAGACAGCCTAGTAAGCGCTTCCACTTAAATTCCTGCCTTGAGTTCCTGCCCCGCCTTTCCTGGATGACAGAGTACAAGCTGTAAAATGACATAAGCCCTTTTCTCTCCTCGTTGCTTTTGCTCATGGTGTTCATTACAGCAACAGGAACTGACTAAAACAGTTCCTCTAAACTGCCTATCCCAGAGATTGCCATTGTTTCCTCCAAGGTCCTGCGGTGTGAGCTCCTCATGCTCTTCCATAAGTCGGTCCTTTAGGCAGCCGTCCAGAACCCTGCCAGATTGGCAGCTTTTTCCAGAGAAATGGGAACAGTGTAGCGACATCCCCAATGCACAAGTGGAATGTTTTGTAGATATTGTAGACCTCGGTCGTCCTTCAGCTGTAATACATTTTGATGCTTCCTACTTCTCCTCCTACCCCGCTTCCAAGACACGGTCTCACTATGTAGCCTGGGTTAGTCTTAAATGCTCAGTCCTTCTGCCTCAACCTGCTGAGTTTCGGGGCTACAGGAGTAATCTCAGATGCCACAAGAGAATACCCAATATTCTCTCATCATCACCCTGTGAGAAAGCAAGTGCACTGTGGTTCTGGGTTCAGGTCTAACCACAGCTGCCTGCCTGCGATAATCAGTGTGTATTCTCACCTTCTCAAAGCACGTTACTGGTATGTTTTATTAGTTTGTGTCACAATGATCAAAACAGAGCTGCTCAAGTTGGAAACTGGAAACCAACCACCTGGAAAGCTTGTTAACGTTCAGACTGACAAGATGGATCTGGTTAGAAATGCCCAGTTCTGCATTCCCAGTGCAAGACATGCAAGGAATCCAAAGGCGACCCTCAGTGAGGAGCATTTAACACCTCAGGTGGATCTATGACATAAGAGCTTTCCAGTTGGAAGTACCAAGAGTAGTTTGCCTCCCCTGCTTGTGAGGGAAAGGGTACTTTGTACTTCAGACTGGGTTCACAGCCATATATGCACCAAAGAACGAATTCAAACCCGAAATTCTCCTGCCTCCACTTCCCACAGGCTGGGATTATAGATGTACTTAATGCCATTGGGTTATATGCTTAAAAATGGTTAAAATAGAAAGTTTTGTTATGTATAGTTTACATACAAGACAGTAAAGTGAATTGAAACTGATAAAACTGGAGTGTATATAGATACACAATCTCGCACACAAAGCAGCTTAAGAAATCAAATACAAGAGAAAGCATAGTAGTTAGTAAGGGACAGAAAGAAAACAAGGAAGGAAAAGAAGGGATGAAAAGTCTGGCCACTCTAGTGTTTCTGAGCCAGATAAAAACATTACAGTCTGCTAGAAAAAAAAAACAGAATCTTGAGAGGGCACCACCCTTTGCAACTGTCACCTTCTCTTTTGGAACTGTACTGAGACATGGGGATGGAGCAGGAGCTCCCAGAATTCCATGGGCTTAATGGGTGCTTCCCAACAGGACAGGGCCAAGGCCTACACCTTGAACGCTAAGTTACGGAAGCAGCTGGCTGAGTTCCGGGCCCCACAGGTGATGGTGTATGTCAAGGAGAAGATCTTGAACGGGGAACTGCAGAAGACCATCAAGATGTGGGAGAGGAAGGTGGAGATCGCAGAGGTGAGCCTGTTGTCCCCAGGCGGGGTTTAGTCTAAGAGCACTGACCATGGGATTACTGAATATCTCCAGCCACCGACGTTTTTCTTCAGGCTTTTGTTTATCGGGTTCAGATTATAGGGGTGCCGGCCATCTTGTAATCTCTGAAGTTGTTTCAACTTCTTAGCCAAAAGATGAACAGCAGTTATTTTTCCAAGCTCTCAATTTCAATGTTAGGGACCGTGTATTTTAGGGTCATGGGTGTGTTTAATTGTTTCCATAATGAATTCTAGGGTCTGCGGGATCCCTCCATGCCATGGGTATGCTTCTTACACGGAGAAGACAGCTTTTAAGACAATGAAAAGCTGCATGTGGTGGTCACGCCTTCAGCCCAGCACTGGGAGGCAGGGGCGGGTAGATCTGTGTTTGAGGCCAGCATGGTCTCTATAGTGAATTCCAGGCCACTCAAGGCTGTACAGTGAGACCCTGGAGAGGAGAGAAACAGAGACAGAGAGAGAGAGGGGAGAGAGAAAATAGAATATAGTGGGTTTTAGTGACTTTCAGAACCTAGCTCCATGCTCCTAACGTAGCTGCTGTGGGCCTCTGTGTAAGTCAGCCTGCAGCCTTTGAGATGGGTGGCGTGCACCTGGACCTCATGGTGGCCAGCCCACACGGTGTCGGTAGTGTAGCTTAAAAATCTACATGGGCTGCTGGGAAAACTGGAATCTTTTTACGTCTTGGCTCCAGATCCATCTCCCTCTGTGGTAACTAGGTAACAGGAAGGACATGAGGGCCCTAACTTGGGGCCACATAACACCTAGACCTGAGCAGAGAATCCAACAGGGGCATGCACCATCTCATTTCCCTGGACAAAACACAGCCTTTAAAACGGTCTTTTGGGTTTTTGTTGTTGCTGGTTTTTTTTCTTTTTCCTTTTATGAGAGACAGGGTCCTGTGTATCCCAGACTATCCTTCAGCTTAACTCAGCTTAATTTGTAGCTGAGAATAACCTTGAACTTCTGATGCCCTTCCCTCCACTTCCTAACCTCACAACCACTCCGATGTTTATAGGGCACTGTGGATCAGACCCAGGGCTTTGAGCACTCGAAGCACACACTACCCCTGCATCCCAGCCCGAGAAAGGCCTTTTGATGCACCACAGGACCTCAGCCACCTGCACAGTCAGAAGTTTAAATACAGCAGTGGTCTTCAGCACGGGCGCACACACTGTTTTGTTTTTTCAAGTAACCTTCTCTCCCTTTCCCCCTTTTTCTGCTTTGTAGATGTCTTTAAAAGGGTATCGGAAGGTCTGGAATAAAATGAAAACATCGGACAAGCACCTACAGGTGGTCATGCCCCCCGGGAAATAGTGAGGAGCAGCCCACAGCTTGCAGACCAAGAAGTGATCCATTAAAATGTTCTCGTATTTTCCAGTAACGGGGCTCTCTCACTTGTTGCCTGTGCTGTGCTAGTGTCCCCGCCACTAACCAAGGCCACATCTAGACGGTCACCTGCAGGACCGCATCTACCCATGGGAATCTCTTCCTAGCCTGGGCCCCTGGCACCATTAACCCTGAAAGAACCACAGGGCACTCTAATGTTTTGACACTTGTTAGCCCATATTTAGTTCACAAGCATAAATGAAAGTGACCTTCCCACATATGGGAGTGGGACAGAGGAGGGAGAGCCAGCCCGGTGCTGCCGTGGGCCTGCCCGTGGCCACCCAGGTGGCCCCTATCAAGAGCAGACACCAGAACAGTACGGCAGATGCCTAGCAGCTTGCACTCTGAGCTTCTTCTCTGTGGTGATAGGTTAGCTCCTAGCTAGACACCGCTGCCCAAGAAAACAAGCACGAGGGACATCAAGATCCTTTCTTGGGACCAATGCAGCCTGTTCTGGCCAGCCACAACCCTGCCTTCCCCGGCCTCTCCACCGTAGTAGTCATAGTACATGGGTTGAACAGCCACCTTCGAAGGCCAGTCAGATTTCTGAAGCCCATTTGCCCTGAAGTTCTGCTCGTTTTGTGTTGGTTGGTCGTACACTGTGGACATTCTTTGTCCTTGGGAGTAGGATTTAGGCCACTCAGAATAGCTCTGTAGAGAATACGCATTCGTTGTCAGGGCGTTATTTGACTCGTCAAAGGAGAACTCAGGAACCAACTTCTCCCAGGGGTTGAGCGGGGACAGCGGAAGGCCAGCCTTCTTCGCCTTGGCCATGATCCAGTCACTATATTCTTCCACAGCAGTGTACAGAAACAGGCCAGGGCACAAGCTGCCTTCGTCGGTCAGGATTCCTCTCAGGACCCAGAGATCCAAGTTCTTGACCTGGCACATCATAGGGTTTCCTGCTTCCCCCTGCAAGAAAGGGCAGAGGCCTTAGGGCTCAGAAAAACGTCTTTTCCGGTAGATCCTTGCGCCAGTGTCTGTTTTAGCAAGTTTTGCATTGATTCTCTCCAGAAATGGGACAAATTCTAGGCTACCATTTCAAATCTAGACAGCCACCACCAACTATAACAAGGAGGCACTTCCCCCTTAACCCCGCTTTCCCCTCTCTCCCCCTTTCTTGCCTTCTTGTGTGGATCGCATATAACTTACTATGTAGCTAAAGATGGCTTTGAACTCTTGAGTCCCATGACTCCACCTCCTTGGGAGTACAGGCCTGCTACCACAGTGGGGGTTTTTAAGGCAGAGCTAGATGATCAAATCCCTGAAAACAGGGCTTTAAGCAGAGCAAGCACCCTCCAGCTGAGCTACTTCCCCAGGCCAATTTTTCTTACTGTTATGCAAATTATTTGTGGCCTTGGCCCCTCGGTTGCCTATAGCTTCCTGGCTTTTTTTTTTTTTTTTTCACTCTCTTGCCTTTTTCTAGTATCTGAGTCTTACCTCTCTTTTGGCTGCTCACTCCCCAAGTATCATGAGTTCTTTCCATTCTGGCTTAGAACGACCACACGTCTGAACCTTTCTCCTCTTTTTCTTTCTTCCTAAGGAGGGGAGCCCACCAGGAACCAGCGTTGTGCTGGGACTACAGGTTCCCTCCCCATGCCATAGCCACAGTCACTCCCTGTGCTCACCAGCCCCAATGTTCTGTAGCCTTTCCTCTCCTGAAGAAGCAGACCTCAGGGGCTCAGGAATTCCTCTCCGCTGGGGTTCGTACGTATACACACACACACACACACACACACACACACACCTTATATCATGCAAGGCGAGAAGGCAGAAGCTTAGTATACTGAGCTGGATCTGTGGCCAGGGCAAGGGTCCTGCTGCCAATCCAGTGGGGATGAGTTACTGTCCAGGACCTGTGCAGCTCTGGTGCCGGACATGCAGTATGACTCAGTAAAGTATTAGCTACGATCAGGGTGAGGGATTGTAACGGCTACAGTTTTTCTGTAGAAATCTGAGTAAATGAGGGAAAGTCCCAAGATAATGACTAGGTTTTATATTTATGCCACCTGTCCCTTCCCAGGCCTCCGCTGCTGAGCTTTCATCTCATGGTCCCTCTTGGTCCGAGAGAGGGGAAGGATGACTCACCCTGCTTACTTTGTAACCCCCTTGACTGGAAGAGCCAGGCAAGCTGGCCAATGAGGTTGTTCTTGCTGTTTGGACTGAGGCAACCAGTGAGCGGGGCGGCCACGACAGCAGCAAACAGTTTAGACCGACTCAAGGATGAGAAGCAGAGAGGCAATGGGCGACCACCCAGCTGCTTCCCACCTGAGGCCGGGGTCATGGCCTGCCTGGGTTGTCCCCCCCCCCGCCCCCACTGTCCTTCCTTTTGCTTAGGAAGTATGGGCAGAGCCAAGGTGAGAGTGAATGGTAGAAGATGTGATTGCAAGCAGGGCAGAGACGAGGCAGTGTCATGCCTGGGTATAGCCTTTCAGAAGGCCAGAGCCAGTTTATGGGCAACACGTTCTGTACAGCACCCTTGTACCCCCCCCCTTTTTATTTTCATAGCCTGCTGTGTCACAGTAAACTGCCAGATGGCAGATGGCTGAAACGTTATTTCAGAGGTCAGTCACTTGGGACTGCTGAGTGAGCACTGTCCTGTCCGTAGCAGAAGGTTGCTTGGGGCACGGAGCTCCTTGCTGTAGAACGGTGTGGTCGCCTTCCTTTCACTGGTCCTGCCCCAGCCAATCATAACTACCCTCGAGGAAGGCAAGAGGTGGAATTTAGGACACACATCCTGACGGCCCTGACACGCAGTGAGTAGTGTGTACAGATGGCCCTGGCGAGCACATGGTTTTGTTACCAACCCCAGGCTCAGAATGAACTAGGGTTTTTGCTTGTTTGTTTCCCTCCCCCCTTCTCCCCCACCTAAGTAGAGCTGTGATTTTTAGTTTCTGAAGTAAAAGCTGCAGAGGCCACGGGCCCAGGGCCCCTGAAGCAGCTCTATCTTACCTCCTGGGGTCAGGGGCAGCTACCACACAGAGGGGCTTCTTTCTCTGGGTGGTCCTTTCCCTTGACATCCCACGAAACCTCTGAGAGTTGTAAGAACTATAAAGGTAAAGAGCAAAGAGAGGCTCTTCTACTTCTATGGGGAAAATCGTTAGTCGGACTCTGAAGCTGGGAGTTTCCTCTACACCCGACAAAGGTGGTGTTCCAGACTCCTGACGCCAGATCACATCTCCAAGAGAGGAAAACATCCAAAACGCAGAGGTCGCCGTTAGATGTTCTGTGAGCAGAATTCAGTTCAAAGGCTAAGGGCTAGTGGCTGGGAATGGCTCCTCGGGTAATGTACGTGCTGAACAAGCTTGGAGGCTAAGGCTTGGATGCAAATGCCTTGTGGGCTCAGGAGGCTGGGTGGGACACCCAGCACACACAGGGGGAGAAGGCCAGCTGCTCAATCAGGAGACACGCCTCAAGTAGTAGGGTAGGGAGCAAACTAGGAAGATAACGGTTTTAGTCAAACACACATGCAGTCACATATATGTGCACGTTGCAATGTACAACACACATACATATGCCAAAACAAACAAATATTTCAAGAGGGTGCCACAGTTAAAAAAAAAAAAACAGTTTTGTTTTTGGATCCATTGATAGCAAATTCTAACCGACATTGTTCTATTTTTTTCTTAGCATTATGTAAAATTATGCCAGCATCTACAACTGATGACAACTTAGATTCAATGAAGTATGGTACTGGGTTGGTGGAATGATTGCTACTGGGATTTTCTACTGTTTTTAGAACATTATTCAGTTTAAGAAGTTGCTGAGAGCAGGCAGTGGTGGTGCATGCCTTTAATCTCAGCACTCATGGTACAGAGGCTGATGGATCTCTGTGACTTGGAGGCCAGCTTGGTCTACGGAGCTAGTTTAAGGACGGCTAAGGCTACACAACAAACAAACAAAGGAAGTTTCTGAGGTCCTTCCCCCAAAGGGAGCAAAGCACAAAGCAGCCAATCAACGTTGGGCCACTTCCAGGAAGAGCAAACTTGCTGCTTAATGAGACCCATCAAGCTTTTGAGATCCAAAGGCTTTTAGAAGATGTGTTTGTGTGTCTGTGTATGTGTTCTTTACTCTTAAAAAAATATCTTGCCTTCCTCTTGGAGGAAAAACATCCTGACCAGAGGAGTCTTGAAGGTTATTTGAAGAGAGTGGTGATCAACACCTTAGAAAGGCAGATTTAAGTTGAGGAGGTAGCTCAGTAGTAGAGCATTTACCTAGCATCCTCTAGGTCCTGGATTTGATCCCCAGAATATATATGCATATCACACACACACACACACACACACACACACACACACAGAGAGAGAGAGAGAGAGAGAGAGAGTGAAAGAGACAGAGATAGGTAGAGAGAGAGACGGAGAGCTTTGCCTGAAGTTTTTCTCTTTGCTCTAATTTACCAGTCTTGGTAAGCCACCTTAGTCTTTAGACACCAGGGGACCTGAACCAGATAGTGGTGAATTCTGCACATTTTGCTCAGACAATAGTCATTCTCTGCAGCTCCTGTTTGTGTAGAGAGCAGGGGTTCTTATAGAAGAAATCCCCGGTTCCGGGTGAACAGTGCTTCAAAAGAGAGTTCATGTTTCATAGCTGCTGGATACGGTGACTCCAGCCCTGTAGGTGTGTACACACAAGGCGTGTATATACGCCCACGGGTAGAAGTGGACTCACATCTTTCATTTTTAGCTCATTAATAAACACCTGTGAGTTGGATATGCTTAATCGTTACACTGAAAACTCCGTACAGTCCTTTCTGCAGACTTTCGATTTTCCTGACAGGGTGTCAGCATGTAGCACATGCTGGCCTTAAATTCACGATCCTTCTGCCTTGGCCTCCTGAGCACTGGAGTTACAGGAATGAATTGCCACACTCAGCCATTCAGCAGCTTTTTAGTTGAATGCCTGCTTTCTGCTAAGCGTTATTCCTACCAGAGACATGAATCCTATGTCACTGTCCCTACCTTCATTCCCCATTGTCCAGTAAGGAGACACTCCCGGGACCCCTTGGTGCAGCCCATGGTTACTTTCAAAATTTGGCTTCTACTGCATCAACTTCTTACCAGGCAAACATGGTTGGATTTCTTAAGTGTGTGACTGGCACATTCTGTTTTCCGGTCTCTAAAAGGACACACGGCAATGTCTTTTACGGAGATTCTCCTCAGGATACTCATTGTCATGCGATTTCCTGTCTGGACCATGCAACAGAGAGGCCAAGAATTATTAACAAGAAGGCGGTCCAGTGTCAACACAACAGCAACTCACATATCCAAACAGGAGTGAACAGAACATGTTTCTATTCATCCCTTTTACCCATAGAAACTCAGGGCCTGTGAGTGTTTACTGAAAATTATCTTTGAATTTGAATCGGTAGACAACAATTCACCCTTCTGTCACACTTAAAGAATAAGCATTTCTTCATTTCATCCTAACGCCAAGAATGACAGAAAATGGTGGCTTAGGTAAGACTACACTCAACCCCAGCCCCCTCGTCCCTCCCAGCACTTGGTGAGGCAGTCTGCTGCCTGTATACTTCTTGGGTATAGAGCTAAAAAAAAGATAAAGAGAGGAGAGAGAGAGGAAGGGGAAAAAGGAAGGGATGGAGGGAAGGAAGGAAGACCCCCACAAAGGCAAGCACTAGGAATCAACTCTAAAACCTTGAACATCCTGAATGATTAAGACAAGCCCTAAAGAAATTCATCCAAGTCGCCCCCACTGCCAGCACACTCAGCCCCCTCTAGGGGAAGGGATGCATTAACTGCAGATGTGGGGTTCCATCCTGCTACCCAGCAGTTCCTCAAAACGGATTCTCTATGTAGCTTTTTGTTCAGGAAACAGATGGCCTGGACCAGGTCGTCGAAAAATATGGCAGATTCTGTCCTCAGGAGGGCTATGTTGTTGCTCATTGACTTGTTATTAAACTTCTCATGGATGATGATGCTATGGACCGGGTACTCTGTGTGATCAGTCTTTTGGGGATCCATATTAGCTATACCAACAATAACAATAAGCTTCTTCCTAGAGAGAAAGACAACAAAGGGATTTCAAGAAGTCAAGGTAGGAAGGAAGCTTCACACTTCCTCCATTTTTCTCACTTATCCTGGTTTTTTCAATCTGGCACGCTCATCCAACCCAATCCCTGGATATTTGTTTATTTTTAATTTATGTGCATACATTTGTGTGTGCATGAGTGTGTGTATATGCATATATGTGAGTGTATGCAAGTGTGTGTGTGTGTGTGTGTGTACCACAAGTACCTGCCAAGGCCAGAAGAGGGTATTGCATTCCTTGGATCTGGAGTAACTGGGAACCACACTTGGGCTGTCTGAAAGAGTAAGGAGCACTGAAATTGCTGAGCCATCTCTCCAGCTCCTGGGTTGGTTTTTACTCATACCTTTGAACTCAGTCTCCAGGGAATCTCTTCTGAATTTCCAGGTTTGTTTTCTCCCCAGTGAGCCCAAGGCCTCTTGGGAGATTCTTCTGTCCTAATACCATTTATGTTACCAACCAAAGATCATCTCTGTCCACATGTTTTTGGGTAACTTTCTCTGTATGAATAGTCTTTTTAAACATAGGAGTAATCATACCAAATATGTAATCTGGACTCTCACCCATAGTCTTAGCACTTAACTTTTGTTGTTGTTGTTTTGTTTTTGTCGAGACAGTGTTTCTCTGTGTAGGCTTGGCTATTCTACATGTGCTTTGTAGAACAGGCTGGCATCGAACTCACAGAGATCCTTCTGCCTCTGACTCCCTGAGTTTTGGGATTACAGGCATGCACCACCTCGCCTGGCTAGCACTTATTTTAACGCATCTCTCCTCCCGTACTCTATGAGTGATATGATATAGCTTATGAGTGGAAAGATGGGACTTAAGAATGATGGGGTTAAGCTGGGTATTCTCTTCTTCATTCCTGGGGAGTCATTCAACTGGGAATGGTAGATGACACCTGCTGCCGCTGACCTCAGAGGAAGCTGGGTAAGAAAGTTCTCAGCAAAAAGGTAGGTAAGAATAAAGGTCAAGTTAGAAGCAGCATGAAGGAGAATAGAAAGCATGATGACTTAGAAAGTAAAGCCAGGTGTGGTGGCACAAGCCTTTAATCTCAGCACTCGGGAGGCAGAGGCAGTTCGATCTGTGAGCTTGAGGCCAGCGTGGTCTACAGAAGGAGTTCCAGGACAGCCAGGGCTGTCATAGAGAAATCCTATTTCAGAGAGAGAGAGAGAAAGAGAGAGAGAGAGAGAGAGAGAGAGAGAGAGAGAGAGAGACACTTAGGAAGCAGGCTGAGAATGACCAAAATGAGAAAGAAGTTAGCAAACTTTTCTTGTGTGTATGTGCATGTGTGTATTTGTATGTGTGTTCACACAGGTGTATATGTGTGTGCATGAGTGTGTATTGGAGGTGTGCCTGTGTTTGCATGTGTGTGGAAGCCTGAGGTTGATGTTGGCAATCATCCTCAGCTGCACTTTCATTTCGTTCACTGAGGCATGGTTTCAGAAGCCCAGATCTCAGACATAGCTCTCTCCCTAGGTGAGAAGAATTAGGCCAGGCAGAGTTGGATGGAGTTGGATGAGGGAAACAATCTACCCTTCACCTCAGGAGAATACAGACCCTGACCTTACACCCCGCTCCAGGCCATGGTTAGCATGTGTATGGATGACACCCAGCTATAACTAGTATGATGCTGTCTGTCACCCACACAGGTCAACCGCCTGGGGCCATCAGAGGGGGATGAGTAGAGTGTGGATCAGGAGTGACAGACGGGAGCCATCTGGCATAGCCCGACATTCAGTCCAGCAAAGAGGAAATCATTCATACACTTCATTGTCTAGCTCGTGAAAATGAAATTTCGCTTGTCTCACTGAAATTTTTGCCTAACTGAAAAGGAAGTGAGGGATAACGGCAGAAGCTGGGAGAGCCGGGCATCTCCTTGGCATATGAGCATTTGTAGTCATCCTGCTTAAAGTCAGAATCACGTCAGACTTCTCCACAGAAATACTTAAGAAGCCAGAACGGCAATGGGAGGGGTAAAGGGACGCCTAGAAAGTCTTTTTGAGAAAAGAAATGTGAGCCATAAAAAGGACATGAACTGGGAATGAGAGGGTGCTACAGTGCAGTGTTCACTGTTCTAGAACTCATTGTGATCTCCGAAAACAGGACCTTATTTGGTGGCAAGGCCTTTGTTTTCACGTTTGTAGACAGGTACCTAGGGCCTAATCCAAAAAGACCAGTGTCCCTTTCCCCTCTAAAAAAAATATATTTTTTTCTTTTCATGTGTATGTATGTGTGTATGTGTATTTGTATGTGTATATGTGTTTGTGCTTGTGTATATATGTGTGTATGTGTTTATATGTATACACATGTGTATATATTTGTGTTTAGGACTGGAGTTGATGTCAGGGATCTTCTACAATCTGTTTTCTGTCTTATTTTCACACAAAGGGAAATAACCATGTGAAGACACAGCTAGAAGGCTTTTGCCTGTAAGTACAGAAGGAGACAAACCTGCCCACATCTAACCTTGGGCTTTCAGGGCTAAACCACCCAGTCTATGATATTGTGTTATGAAAACCTGAGCTGACTAGTGGAGGGAGAATTCTGTCTATGTTAATAGACATAAAAATCAGTATAGGAAGATACATAGCTATCCATGAACACATTAGGTGTGTGTGTGTGTGTGTGTGTGTGTGTGTGTGTGTGTGTGTGTGTTTAAGAGGAACATCCAAGAAACTGATGAGAGAACATGGCACAATGGAAAGAAACAATGACTGAGGGGACATTTTTACTATGTATCTTTGCTTCTTTGTGGATATTCACCCGTGTATATGGATTACCACTTAAACATATAAACTCTGCTCTTCTGGAGACAGTGCTTAGAGACACTCAGAATGGTCCAGCATTTGATACACCATTGTTGGCTTTCCCACAATACAGCCTCTAACAAAACTAGGCTCTCTTGAACCCCCGACAGTAGGACTGTTTACTTCTTTACTAAGATGGTTGGGAAAGCACCAAAATCCACATGTGGTGTGTGCCCCGGCAGACTTCAAGGGTTCATGCTGTAAGACCCAAGTCCTTGTGAGACTGTCTAAAACAAAGAAGCACATCATCAGGGCCTACGGAGGCGACATGTGTGCTGAATGTGTCCTTGGAGAATCAGGTGTGCTTCCTTAGTGAGGAGCAGAAAATTGTTGTCAAAGTGTTGAAGGCACAAGTACAAGAGTCAGAAAGTAAAAGAAATATGAAGCTTTTTTAAATAAGAAAAGTCAAGGCTCTATAATAATACATATTATATATACGATTACATGCTCATTATATAATATAATACATAATATATAAATATATACCTATAAATTATATGTGTTTTAACTATTACATATTATATATATATAAACATATATATAAATTCTGACTAGTATGGGTTGAGGGTGGAGCATCCATAAGAAACTAGACATCTTATGCCACCAAGTAAACCTCCAGTATCAAGTATGGGTTACATATTATTGAGTCATTGACCAAAGAGGTCCCATTGGCCCCCTCAAACATCACAGACTATTGCCAAGGCTATTGGTTACTCTCCACAACTTGATGGTAAAGCCCTGTTGCTGAAGACATCATCACTTATTTCATTGAACAAGGAGAAGTTGGTCTGGTGTCTAACCAGAAGCTTCACTCCTACTGATTCGTGTTCACGGTACTGGAAGGGACTCTGCACAGCACCAGAGGGAAAGGGTAATCATGAATATCACCCATCGATAAACCCTGACCTACAACAGCAACCTGCCTGCAAGAAATGCCGGTGCAAGAGTGACATGAACATTATCAGAGTAGTCAACCAACTCCATGGGACAGAGCCCATACCTGATAGAAAGCGGCCAAAACCTGAGCGGGAAAACCCAATATTGTTCGGTGAAAGGAACACAGCAATAAAAGTACTCCCAATGACATACCCAGAGATCAGTACCTTGATCAAACCACATCAAAGAAGCTTTTTCTTGTAGTAGGTGGGAGTTAAGATAGAGACCCACAACTGGACAACGTGCAGAGAGTGAGGGTCTTAGGAGCACTCAGTCCTAAATAAGATGTGTTCATTAAACCTCTCCTCTCAAGGCTCAGGGATCTATGAGGAAGAGGAGGTGGAGTGTAAGAGCCAGAGGTGATGGATGACTCCAAGGAACCAATGTCCTCAAGACACGAAAGGACTGAAGTGCGTATGAACACACGGAGACTGTGGCAGCACACACAGACAGACCTACACAGGTTTAACAGACGGGGTCCCAGCACCGAAAGGGAAAATGGACACAGAAAGTCCAAGGTTAGAGTGTCAGAAGTTTTTGTTTGTTTGTTTTTGCTCTGGACTTACAGGCAGCCATAGCTAAGAAGATGTTTGCAATTGGCACCTGCTGGCAAAGGGAAAATCATTTCTCTCTGGTGAAGTTGCCAGGTATATCAGCGACACTCCAGGGAAGGCCACGTGCCCAGGGGTAGTTGGCCAGCATAAAACAAACTCAGTGGTATTTTTTGTGAGCTTTTTGTTTCATTTGGCATTTTTTAATCTTATTGACCTTTTACTTGGTTGTTTTGACTTCCATTTTGTGGGATTTTGTTTTTTTGTTTTTGAAAGAGAGAGAAAAGACAGAACAAAGTTGAGTAGGTAGAGAGGTGGAGCAGAGTTGGGGAAGGAGGGAAACATGATCAAAATATATTTTATAAAAATATTTAATTTTAGAGAAACCATGTCTTGAAAATCAAATACACCAAAATAAAAAGAAAATGGCATGTGAAGCTCATTATTTTACATGCACTATAGAAGAATAATAGTTTAAAAATACATAAAACAAGTATTAAGAAGGGGGGAACAGCCTTACCAGGCCACAGAGGGAGACAATGCAGCCAGTCCTGACGTGACCTGGTAGGCTAGGGTGAGATAAAAGAGGAGGAGGTCCTCCACTATTAGTGGACTATGGGATGGGGAGAAGAGGGAGGGTGGATAGGATTGGGAGGGGACAAGGGAGGTGGCCACAGCTGGGATACAAATTGAATAAATTCTAATAAATACTAATAATTAATTAAAAAAGAATTCAGCAGCTACAGAATATTCTATCTGATGTTTCTATTACAATTTCTTTAGCCAGTTAAAGCGATCATTCTTTCAGGCTGGGGAGATGGCTCAGTGGATAAAGGACTTACTATGCAAGCGTGAGGACCAGAGTTTGGGTCCCTAATAACCACATAAGAGCTAAGTGGCCTGCCTGCCATCCTAGCACTCAGGAAACAGAGACAGGGAACTCTGGGAAACCAACCCACCAAACAACAACCAGCCAGATCAGTGAGCTTTGGGGTGAGTGACAGAACTCCTTTAGTAAAGTGGAGAGCAATGGAAGTGTCACCCCCACACATGCAAACACACATCACACACATGTCCACATCACACACGCATGTGCAAACACATCTCTATGCTCTCTCTCTCCATTCCTGCAATGCATATTATACTATCTTACATACAGTGTGCAATAATAAACTATAATTTGCTTATCTGTGCTAAGTGGATGTTCTCTCTTTGTTTGTTTTGTTTTGTGTGTTCATTTTATTTTTATTAGTTGCAGTTTATTCACTTTGTATCTCCCTTGTACCTCACACCCTCCTCCCCTCCCAATCCCACTCTCCCTCTTCCCACCCCTGTCCCTCTCCCAGTCCACTGATAAGGAAGATCCTCCTCCCCTTCCCTCTGATCCTAGTCTATCAGGTCTCATTTGTGTGTTCATTTTTGAGGCCAAGTCTCATGTAGCCCAGGCTGGCCTCAAACTCAACATACAGCTAAGGGTGTCCCTGAGCCCCTGATCCTTCTGCCTCCACCTTCCACATGCTGAGATCACAGGTCTGTGTCACAATATCCCTTGGATGTTTACTTTATTTCTGGCATTTTCTGTGTAATTAGCCACCCAATCAACAACTTGGCACATGAAACTTTCCTTCCCCAGAGGTTGAAATTATCCGGTTTTCAAAAGTTAAAGGTCACTGGACTAGAAGTAAGGTATTCTACACCTTACAAAATCATGAAAATATATTTGCCAAATACTTTCCTTAGTCATATTTATGTTTTTTTTTTTCTTATTTGTAAGAATTTGAGATTATATATAATTTGGGGAACAGAAACAAGCACAGTTAAAGAAATCGTGAGTGTTCTGAGCACCCAGAGAAAAGCATTCTGGGAGTGGCTCTAATTTCCCTCCATCTTTCTCTATGCCATTCTTGTCTGTGGCAGTGACGTTTGTGAGGAGGCCCAAGGTGTCTTGAGAGGGTTCCTGCCGACTTCCTTAACTTATCCTGAAAGGACACCCAGTGGATAGAATGGAAGAATCCACATCTCTGTGATTGCGGCAAAAATCCCGAGTGGACTCTCTAGACACAACAAATGCCATCTCACTTTTCACTGGTGCCACCCTCAGGCCGCAGAGTAAAGTCCCGTGAGCCACTGGCTCAGGCCAGCACACCTAGAGTCTATTCTACAGGCCTCACCTGTCCCCAGGCCTGCAGGACCGCTCCCCATCCCCCACCCCTCCGCCAGGGGGAGCACTAGCCTGTGCTGGAGAAAGGAGGCGGTGGTGAGGATCCAGAACTCGCTGAGAATGCAGCCGAACGCCAGGTGGGTGTAATGCTGGTCCTGTAAGGACACCACCCAGGGGAACTCGTTGATGCCGACGATGTTCTCCGTGGACTCGTCCGTGATGGTGGCTTTCTGCATGCCGCAAACTGCAGAGGGAGCATAGGCTTCACTGTGTGGCAAGAGGCCGGCCCCCTGAGAGCGCCCCATTCCCCAGCCCTCAGGACTCCTGTTTTGCTTGGGGCTCACCCTGCCACCCCGATGCTTTGTTGATCCCAGGAGATCTTCCACATAAAAGATGCTTGGCGGCATCTCTGAACCTTTTAAACGTCTTTAGACTCTGCTGCCGGCGCTCTTGTGCCAAGCGCAGCGCCTCTTGCTAGGCCTTGCCTGTTTTTTTTGTTTTGTTTTGTTTTGTTTTGTTTTAAAAAAGCGGGTGTCAAAAGCTGGACCCGTATGTAGGCACCCTGCAGGGAGTCTAGGCCCTTTCTTCAGGGAAAAGCTGTTGCTTGCTTTCCCAACTCTCCTCTCACCGGTGTATGGTGCAATTTTCCAGATTTGTGATGTCATCATTCTGATGGCTAAATGCGTGCATGAATTTGTTTATTCTTGTGCTTTAGCTTTTCCTAGTTTAATGTATACTATGGTAAGTGCAGAAGATACAGCCTGTGGTGGTTAGTTTTAATTATCAACTTGATGCAACCTAGGATCTCTTGGGAAGAGACCCTTAAAGAAGAATTATCTAGATGAGGTTAGGTTGAGAGTGTGTCTGCTGAGGACTGTTTTGACTGTGAGTTTGTATGAGAACAACCGGGTCACTTTGGGCAGCGCCATTTCCTAGACAGGTTAGGATTCCTAACTGTTCAAGAGTGAAGAAGCCACCCAGTGTGATAGGATTTCGCCCGTAATCCCAGCACTCTGGGAGGCAGAGGCAGGAGGATCTCTGGGAGTTTGAGGCCAAGCTGGCCTACCTAGAGAGTTCTGGGCAGTCAGATGACCCATGGTAAGACGCTGTCAATTTAAAAAAAAAAAAAAAACAGAGAGAGTGAGCTGAGGGAACAAGCAGGCAGCAAGGGCACATTCATTTCTCTCCGCTCTTGACTGTGGGTGTGACTGTGGGACTGATGTCCCTCAGGCGGAGTGTTTAGCAGCAGAAGTAAAATTAGGACAAAGCCCCTCCTGAGCAAAACTAGTTTAGGGGCCCCCAATAACTTGAGAGTATGAAAGGGGCTTGAGGCCCAGAGGTTTGAGCCCTGCCAGCATTCACCACTTGGGACAGTTCTCCCCCAGCCCTGGGCACTGCTGTTGATTGATGCAGGTCTCCAGCTTTCTTTAGGGCCTGCAGCATGTATCCGCGTCCCGTGAACGGCAAACATACGGAGCCAACTCGGAGGAATGCAACCCCACCACTCAACTTGTCATCATCTGTGTCTAGACACCCTCAGCCTCAGATTCACTCTGGCCTTTCCCTGCTTCCCCTGCAAGATGCTGGCACGCATGGCTCCTCCTGCCAGGTCTGCTTTGCTCGTTAGTGTGTCCGTAGGAGCTAGCGTGGTGCCTTGTATCTAGTTGGTGTTCAATAAGTCATCTGGTGTATGAGTAAAATTACTCTGCCAGTTCCCTACGCCCTGACGTCCTGTCGTGAAGAAGATAAAAAGTCCTGGCATGTGGAAGCTGTCGGTGTCCCCCTCTCCAATCCTGCTCAGCCTCTGCCTCTGGACAGCCTCTGACTGTCCAGCTCAGCAGTCCCCTGGGAAACCTGGATTTTGTTTCTGGGGAGAACACAATGTAGTTTAAACGATATGCCGCTCTGCTAGCCTGAGGTCAGATGGATCTGTGTTGTCCTGAAGGTTCTATATTCATGCCAACACGGAGACTGCTAGAACAGCAAAGATCATGGAGGCAAGAGGAGGGAGGGCAAGGCCAGGCCAGGGACTGACTTTCTTGTAGTGCCGGGTTGAGTGAGCTGAGGCCCCACTTTCCAGGCATCACTCATAGCAAGACAGCTACCTCGTGAACTGTGTTACTCCTCCAGTCTGCTGACTCCCTCCACTGGCCCGTGTCCTCCCTCAGGCACTGAGATACCTCTGTTGAGCTCCGGTGCCCACAGGACCCCTTAGTTCCTTACTTCATTGTAGGATTCTTCACCCTAAGAGTATCAGGCATCTACAAGAATCTCTGGGCAATGCATTTGCTAGAAGTTCCCCAGGCTAGACCCTGATTTGTATTTGTGAAGAGCCTGGATGTAGGCTGCAAAGTCAAGTCAGTCTCTTGGTGTGCTGAGATCTCAGAGAAGCCACTATACTCTCTCTGATGCTGGTCCTCTTTTAAATGCTGTAGTCACGGGCCTAGCTGTATGCCACATGGGATTGTTGCAAGATTGCAGGGAATTATGGGAACATGCAAACTACAGCTCTGTCACTGACTGTGCTGAGCCTTGGGGCAAAACTGGTCATTCTGTTTTCAAAAACACAAACCATCTCCCTGCTTGCTCTCAAATCAATGCTTATTTCTGTGTTGGCGGTGGCCTTGGGTCTCCGTGCCATGTAGGTCCTCTGCACTGGACTCCCAGTGAATGCCTTTTCAGCCATTCACCCAGCCTGCACAGAGCTCTGCCAGGCACGGGTTGGGAACTAAGCTGGTAGGGATGGACTTTGAGAGTCTGTGACGGTGACATGTGAAGGACTGATGACCATGCAGAGAGAGATGAGCCAAGGGCTGCGCTGAGTATTCAGAAGAGGAAGCATGAAGGATGGAAGGGCTTCGTCTGGTGGTGACAGAATGGATGTCGGCAGCAAAGCCATTTTCAAACGTAGACCCCACTGTCATCTATGGTATTGTCAGGAGCTCAGGTATGGCTAGGGATGGCAGCAGATGCCTTTAGGCCCAGCACTCGGGGAGGCTGAGACAGGTGGGTCAAAGCCAGCCTGGTCTACCTAGTGAGCATCAGGGTGGCCAGCGCTATCTAGTGAGACTCTTGCCTTAAAATAAATAAACAAACAAATGAATAAACAAACCAATAAAGAACAGAACGGAACAGAGGACCTCTTCATTATGGGGTATCCTGAGACCAAATTTCCAAACAGAGACTTTTCTGGGAGAACATTAACTCCATCAGAAATACCAACAATGAGATTCTTTGTGTATACCTTGTTTTTCCTTTGGGGACACTGGTGACCTACAATGCAGGCATTAGCCGATCCTTCCCAAGCCAAGAACTTCCGTGTATGTGACGACATCCCCTTTTCCAAAGCACCCACTTGGGTGCTGGGGGAAGTGGCTCAGTAGCAGAGGACGTGCTCAGAGTCCCTTGCCTTGTGCCTGATTCTATCTCTAATGCCATGATGAGAAAATTTGGTCCAGAGACCAAGCCTTTGTTCTGGGTCTGAGCTATATACGTGTGTGTGTGTGTGTGTGTGTGTGTGTGTGTGTGTGTGTGTGTGTGTGTAAGAGAGAGAGAGAGAGAGAGAGAGAGATCTCCCATCTAGTCAATGGCACAAAGTTGGACAGAGCCTATTTGAGTCAACTGCTTCCTCTTCACCTGCCCCTTCCTAGGCTGGGAAACCATTGCTGCTGTGGGACTAGTCCTGCTCAGGGTCACAGTTTGCAGAGCTCAATGTATTCCAGGTGGGCAAGGTTGAGCTGAGTGTGGGAGGCAGTTCTCACCTGATCCCCCTGCCCCATGGGCCATTCTGTACCCTACTGCTGATTTTCCTGTTTCCCACCCTTAGAATTAGACCCACATTCGTCCGCTGCCTGATACTCTGCATTACCTCATTCCCGAGACTCACACATGCCTCCCAGGACAAAGTGCTAGAGATGGTCTTCCTTGCTGAGTGAGTCCCTTTCTGGACAGTAAGGGCCACTCCTGGATAGCCCTGACAACCCTGACCCCACCCCATCCCACCCCAGGCTCCACCTGTCACTGACCGCCCTGGGAGGGGAGCACTCACTGGCAGATGATGAGTGGGACATATACAACAGCAGCAGCAGCACCCCGCTCATCTCCGTCATCCCCAGAGACAAGTGCAGCGAGCACCATGGGCATCTGGGAAGACAGAAGAGTGTGACTCCATCACCTTCCTCAGGCAGGCTCTCCCTGCTTCCCGAGGGGGCGGATCCCCGTGGTAGAAGCCTGTTCCTTTCCACCGTCGAGGTTCCCAGACAGAGTAAACAGACCTGTCACATCCCCAGCTCTGGGTTCTGTGCAGTCATGGCAGGAAGAGGCTGTCTGGCTCCGATGCTCGCCCAGAAGTTTGTGAGAAGGCCCAAGGAGAGAGGGTAGTCTGCTTTTTCCAGTTTTCTTCTCAGAGCAGCCCGGGACCCTGGGTGTGCTGGAGAGTTGGTTCTCTAAAAAGGGTTGGTTTTGGATTTGTGGAATTCAACCCTTGCTTTGACTCTATAGCCATAAAACACTGCTGAAAGAAAAGACAGGGTTTTGGTGGGAGCTCCCCCAAGGTTTAGTGTCATGCAGTGACATCACACTTCTATTAAAACTCACATCAGGGCTGGGCCTGGTAGCACCTGCCTTTAATACCAGGACTTGGGCTGTAGAGGCAGGTGGATCTCTGTAAGTTCGAGGCCAGCATGACCTACAGAGCTAGTTCCAGGTCAGCCAAGACTGTTACACAGAGAAAACTTGTCTTGAAAAATAAAAACAAAATAAACCCCACCTCACAGCAAGTCCTGCTGGGATGTCTTCACCAGCAACGGTTCCAGCATTTAGCTCAGTCCATTCATGTAGCCACCTTAGACACAGGCACTCTCATGATCCCCATTTTACAGACTCAGAAACTGACTCCCAGAGACACCGAGTAACAGCCCAAGGTCACACAGCAACTAAACAGTGAATCTGGAATGGGAGCTCAAAAACTATCTGAACCACCAAACCCTAGGGAGCATCACCTCACTTCCTGGTGCTCAAACTATGCACCACAACCTAAGAAAACCATGCACAGTTCTAAGTCACCATGTTCCCCTTGTGACATGAGATGTTTCTTTTGTCCTCAGGATGGTGCTGAGGACAAAATAGTTCTGTGAACTATTCCCACTAAAAGAAAAATGAACTCACTGTGGCCTTATGCAACAGAGCTCTACAGTGGAGTTTCTTCTACGCCTTGGGAAGAATGTTCCATTGTGGCGTCATGGTTACCATGGCATCTCTCAGCAAACATTTGGACGAGAGAACTTAAGAGGAACGGCATGACATGTGTGTATTACCTGGTCTTGACAGTAATTCTGGAAGATGCCTTCTGGGTGTGACTAAGAAGACTCCCTTTTTGCAAGAGGATGAGGCCCTTGATTTGTAGCCCCTGGCTGCTTAGTACCTTCTTCCACGTACACAAGTTGCTTTTCAGAGTGAGCGTGTCTCTAGTCCCCCTGCTGGGATGGTTTCTTGGAGGCTGAGTCCATCCCCCACCCCACACGGGCCTATGCTCCCAGCTTGTGGGGCCAAGCTAAACTACTGAGCGGGCTCTAAGAAACCATGTGGCCAGGTAGGCTCTGCCCTCCAGTCTCTGAGAGCAGCATTGACTTCGCACATCCGCTAGGACTGGACAAGTGCTGACACCATCGTGGTAAGATGTGGCTGTGCAGCTATCGGGCTGCTGGCGAGACCTACGTGGTGGATAATAGTGGCCAAAGAGAGGCAGTTTGCGGCGCTGTGGGTCCTAAGAAAGATGGCTGTCTCCTAGTGCCCCTGATGTGCTCTGGGGAATGGGTTTGGGTAGTGAGAACTGATCCATCTACTGTTGGATGCTGAAAGTCCCCTAGAACTTTCCTGTGCATTTTATCACTCCCAACCCATAGCCTCCCTGGAAGAACAAAGGACATGTTTCCCAGACAAAGACACAATGACCTGGTCAATTTCCTAGAATCAGCCACCCACCAGGGGATTGGGAGGGGAGGGTGAACCCAGATGCTTCCAGCCCGGAGGAGGTGGTGAGCCACGGCCTCCGCTTAGGTCGTGACTGTTTTTATCAGGGGCAGAAGCAGAGATAAGAACCGGAACATTGTAATAGTTGCTCTCGAGAGGGCGGGGACTGTTAAGTGATCTTTTCTCGAGGAGTCTGTTTCTATTCACCCCAGATAGAGAATTCAGCAGCAGACTGAAGAAATGGTTCCATCCAAGTCTAGCCTGGTGAACCAGTGAGCTTATTGGGGTTACTTACAGGAGCTTGGGTGAGGGGGTTACTTGTAAAACCATGAACTTTTATCAAAGACAATGCTTTTGAGGGACTCTTCTCTTTGATGTTGTTTATAAAGCAAAGAGGCCAAAGACGGGTATGTTATCTCCTTGACCCTCCAAGAGATCTGATAAAATAATTGACGGGCCTTGCAAATATTCAGCTCTCCAGGGCCATGCTCATAGCAGACACCATACGTCAACCCTGCACCCTTCCCCTGAGCCCGAGCTCTCCCCTCAGCATACTTCTCAGAGTAGGCAGTCATTACCAATCAATCAGACATTTCACAAGAAAAATCCCACTTGTCATCTTAGGCCACAAGAATAAAATCAAAGACTGACTCACTTTTTCCTTCTGAGAAAAGACAGATTGATTCCACAGCCTCCAGGGCATTTAAAACGAGAATATACAGCATATTATTTCATCTAACTCAAGATGTCCATTTCCACAGTAAACATTGTAAACAATTTGAAAAAAACATGAAAAAAAAACCATGGCTATGATTTATGGCCTAATCAAAGTAGAGAGTACACAGATACTTGAACAAGCATCAAGTTTGGAGTGTTTTGTCCATTTGCCTTTTGTATTCAACAGTTTGAAATTTTTTGCAGAGATATTTCAAAAAAAATCGAGTTATTTACAATCCCATTCCTCCTGTCTCTCTGGTCCTGCCAACCAGCAGCCTACCCTGTCTCTATGCATTTCCTATGTTGAACAATCATGTACTTGGCGGTCGTCTGGGTCTGACATCTTGTATGTAGCATGATGATTTCAAGACAGTCTGTGTTACTGTGTGTATCCCTGCTCTGCTCCTTTACAAGGCTGGCTAGTATTACATGTGTATGCATACATGTAATATTCCCACCATTCCTTCTCCTCTCATGGCAGAGCTGTTTCTACTTTGGGCCTGTTGTGAATAATGGGACTATTCGTATTTATCCGAGTTAAGTTTGTTGGGGTTCTCGCCTGTGTGGAAGTCACGCTTACATCATATCTAGGACACTCCGACCATTGTTACCATGACGAGTTCTGCCCCTTTATCGCTCTCTCTTCATTACACATATGTCGATGCACTTCGTGGTCTTCCGGTTCGTTTATCCTTGTTTCTCAGGCCTGATGATCTTGATCAGTTTGTCCCCTTCTCCTCTCTATTCTAGTCTGCTACTGAAATGCTTTACAAAATTTGGGGGTTGGAGCATTTTTATGGTTTTGGGCTCCAAAATTCCTGTTTGGGCCTTTTTTGTATGTTCTAGATCTTTAGCTATTTATTAATGTTCTCTATCTGGTCATTCACTGTTTCCATAATTTCCCCTTTTATATGTGATGTTTGAATATTCTGAAATATAGCCAGTTGGGCTGGGGACTGTCACTCGGTGGTAGAGGCTCAGCTCATCCCTAGCACCGTATTATCCCCTGCATGCAGACTGTCCTTTCCTGGTTCTTTGTATAATTCTTTGTTGAAAGTAGTGGCAAAACACTGCAGAGCTGACTTTCCTATGGACCAGCTGGTTTTCTTTCTAGGCATTCTTCTGGTTCCATTAAGACCTTGGTTCCCAGAGTTCTAAGAAACTTAATCCCAATGATTTTTACTAGATTATTCACTGGTTTTTATGGAAGGACATACTTCTGTTTTTACTCGTTTGCCTTATTCATTAATTTATTCCTATTGTGATAAATACACATAGAACCCTCCCCCCTTATCATTTAAAGCTTTTAAGCGGCAGCTCATTGGTGCTAACATCTTGGTTTTGTACAACCATCACCACTGTTCTTTTGCTGAGTGTCCCTTTTCTGAAGCAAGATCTCCCTATGTAGTGGTCCCAGAGTAATGGCCTGAAACTTATGTAGACCAGGCTGGCCTCAAACTTGTGGTGATCCTCCTGCCTCTGTCCCTTATATGCCAAAATTACAGGTGTGCATCACCACACTGGGTTCCAGAGTTTTTCCATCTTTTTAAAAGGAAACTTCCCCTATGGAACTGCAACTCCTTCGTCAACAGGCCCTATTCTATTTTCTGCTCTGAGGAATCTGGTTGCTTATAGTCCCACACAAGTATTTGTTTCTTTGTGTCTGACATTTCATTTAACATGCCATCTTCAATATTCATTTGTGTTGGGGCATGTGTCAGGGTTTCCCTCCTTATGTGTGTGTAGGACGTGGAGGTAGCTGAGGTTGACATCTGGACTCTTCCTTATTATTCTCCACGGTGTTCATTGAGGCAGAGTCTCTCAGACAAACCCAGAGGTGACCAATGAAGCTTGCCTCCATAGTCAGCTTGCTCCAGGGATTCCCTGTCTTTTCTCTGAGCCTTGGAATTATAAATGGGTCACCACAGCCACCTGGCATTATGTGGGTCTGAGACCTCAAGTTTTCCAGTATGCATTTTATCCACTGAGTCATCTCCCTAAATGCTTCATTCCTTTCTAAACAACACACTTTACCCATTTATCCATGGGTGCACATATGGGGCATTTTATCTGCTGTCTATTGTGAATAATGCTGCTATGAACCCTACTGTATAGTTCTCACTCTCAAAATTCTGGATTTTAATTCTGTAGACATGTACCCACTTAGTACTTATTTGCCAACTTGTTTTGCATCAGGGTCACATGATTTTAAGCTTGCCATGTAGCAGAGGACGACCTTGAGCTCCTGACCCCACTTCTTCCACCTCTAAAGTGCTGCCTCTTGCCATGCTTATGCAGTGCTAGGGACTGAACCCAGGACTTTGTGGAGACTAGGCAGGAACTCTACCAACTGAGCTCCACCCACAACCCTATGCTGGCACATTCAAGACACACACATACATATATACATAAATAAATAAAA